GAAAAAACTAATAAACTCAATCATTTGCTAAGGGAATCACCCACTAGTGACTACTCAAACGTTTGGAAACCCATATTTCTAAGGTAAGTATGAGGAAGAAAAATGCAAATGATTTTCGTATAATCCCTTCAACTATTTGCAAGTTACGAAACAATCAAATATAGAGAGTATCAGAAATACATAGGGAAGAAGGTGTCAAATGGCTAGAAGCAGCTTTCATAATTCATAATGATAAATTGTGCATATAATTATTATGCCGTTGTACGATTAATCATAAAGGCCTGGGCAAAATGTTCTCTGCATATCAACACACATACTTTGAGAAGAAGAAAAAAACATTCTCTTTAATTCAAAGTCGTTTTACAACTTTTTGAGCATCACATAATACATTCAGCTAAACTTGACACGAGGTTATTTTCCGCAAATAATATTATTGTTTATTCTGAATTTTGCAGAAATTAGATATATACGAACCCTTGTGCAATTTAACGTTGGAAATTTGGAATTGAATTAGGGCCTTGAGCGAAGAATACACGTTTAGCTGACCAAAAGTGCAAGTGGTTTCCACTCCCCGTGGGATCATAAAATATGTCATCTAGATCGTTTGCCTGTAGGTCTGGAGTATTGATGGTCGTTAAATACCTTTGAAAGGTCATTATATCTTATTTTTATCTGACAATTTGAAGCGTTAAAGAGAATCAAAATAAGTTATAAACAAGGCATATACAAGTCTCCAGCGGTCAGGAAAAGACAAGCATAATTTAAGATATTTTCAAGTCGTGTTCATAGTGTATGTTCCTCTAACCACATTAGCCTTCACTAAAGTACACTAATGGCTATTCAAAACCAGAATTCAGAGGTTATCATCACCATTCAATACAATTATGACATTTTTACTTCTGACATTTATTCCTCTGACATTTTTACCTCTGGAATTTTTAACTCTGACATTTTTACCTCTGATATTTTTACCTCTGACATTTTTACCTTTGACATTTTTTCCTCTGACATGTTTACACCGAGCCCCATCCCCTTTACCCCCTTTCTTTCTCTGTCTCTCGCTATGTCTGTCTATAAGCCGTTTGATATATTATTTTCTTTCCTGCTGTTTCTCATCTGTCTCTTAAAATCATTCCACTCTATTCATCTCACTATGGCTTTTCGAGTAAGCCTGATTACTCTTGTTAAAATTTTCCCCGTCACTCTCCCCCTTATTTTTTCTATTTTCTCCATCACTCCTTACCTTTTCTGTTGCTACCCGTGTGTGAGTAGTTCTGTTTTAAGATGTGTCTTATTTAACATGTTTACCATGATTATTTCATTTCATTAAATTAATTTATCAGTACTATGAACAAATACATTGTTTTCTTTCACCTTCTCTCTATTCATCTACTTCTCTTTGCTTCTCTCTCTCTCTCTCTCTCTCTCTCTTTCTCACTCTCTCTTTCTCTCCCTGTCTCTCCAACTCTCTCTTTTTTTAAATATATATATCTCTCTCCCTCTTTCTCCACCCTCTCTCTCCTGCCGCCTCTTCTTCTCCTCTTTTCATTTCCCCTTGACCTCGTATATATCTGATGTATACATTTATATTGTTTCGTTGTTACCTATGATGCATTATGCAAGTGAACGTCACATTTCTAAGTTAATTTCTTTACAAATACGGATCAAATAAATGAAAACATGATAGGACATTATTCGTTTTTTCCTGTAGAGATTTCATGGGATCGAGCAAAACGGATGTACAGCATATTCCGACAGGCCAAGTGCATGCTGAAAACATACTAGAGTTCCTCTTTAAAAATAACAATCTATCACAATAACCGCAACAAATTTATTACCTTTCATAACGGATGCGAGAGATATTGATCTTGGCATTATACTGTGTAGAATAACGTAACTATCAGGAACTAGAAGTTAAAAGTGCATTTGGCAATCCTTTTGTTTCTCTAACCACATTAACCTTCACTAAAGAAAACTTAATGGCTATTCCAAACCAGAATTCAGAGGTTATCATCACCATTCGATACAATTATGACATTTTTACTTCTGACATTTTTTCCTCTGACATTTTTACCTCTGGAATTTTTAACTCTGACATTTTTACCTCTGATATTTTTACCTCTGACATTTTTACCTTTGACATTTTTTCCTCTGACATGTCTACACCGAGCCCCATCCCCTTTACCCCCTTTTTTTCTCTGTCTCTCGCTCTGTCTGTCTATAAGCCGTTTGATATATTATTTTCTTTCCTGCTGTTTCTCATCTGTCTCTTAAAATCATTCCACTCTATTCATCTCACTATGGCTTTTCGAGTAAGCCTGATTACTCTTGTTAAAATTCCCCCGTCACTCTCCCCCTTATTTTTTCTATTTTCTCCATTACTCCTTACCTTTTCTGTTGCTATCCGTGTGTGAGTAGTTCTGTTTTAAGATGTGTCTTATTTAACATGTTTACCATGATTATTTCATTTCATTAAATTAATTTATCAGTACTATGAACAAATACATTGTTTTCTTTCACCTTCTCTCTATTCATCTACTTCTCTTTGCTTGTCTCTCTCTCTCTCTCACTCTCTCTTTCTCACTCTCTCTTTCTCTCCCTGTCTCTCCAACTCTCTCTTTTTAAAAATATATTTATATATCTCTCCCTCTTTCTCCACCCTCTCTCTCCTGCCGCCTCTTCTTCTCCTCTTTTCATTTCCCCTTGACCTCGTATATATCTGATGTATACATTTATATTGTTTCGTTGTTACCTATGATGCATTATGCAAGTGAACGTCACATTTCTTAGTTAATTTCTTTACAAATACGGATCAAATAAATGAAAACATGATAGGACATTATTCGTTTTTTCCTGTAGAGATTTCATGGGATCGAGCAAAGTGGATGTACAGCATGTTCCAACAGGCCAAGTGAAAACATACTAGAGTTCCTCTTTAAAAATAACAATCTATCACAATAACCGCAACAAATTTATTACCTTTCATAACGGATGCGAGAGATATTAATCTTGGCATTATACTGTGTAGAATAACGTATCAGGAACTAGAAGTTAAAAGTGCATTTGACAATCCTTATGTTCCTCTATTAACCACATTAACCTTTACTAAAGAAAACTTAATGGCTATTCCAAACCAGAATTCAGAGGTTATCATCACCATTCGATACAATTATGACATTTTTACCTCTGACATTTTTACCTCTGGCATTTTTACACCGAGCCCCATCCCCTTTACCCCCTTTCTTTCTCTGTCTCTCGCTATGTCTGTCTATAAGCCGTTTGATATATTATTTTCTTTCCTGCTGTTTCTCATCTGTCTCTTAAAATCATTCTATACTATTCATCTCACTATGGCTTTTCGAGTAAGCTTGACTACTCTTGTTAAAATTTCCCCCGTCACTCTCCCCCTTATTTCTTCGATTTTCTCCATCACTCCTTACTTTTTCTGTCGCTATCCGTGTGTGAGTAGTTCTGTTTTAAGATGTGTCTTATTTAACATGTTTACCAGATTATTTCATTTCATTTAAATTCATTTATCAGTACTATGAACAAATACATTGTTTTCTTTCACCTTCTCTCTATTCATCTACTTCTCTTTGCTTGTCCCTCTCTCTCTCTCTCTCACTCTCTCTTTCTCTCCCTGTCTCTCCAACTCTCTCTTTTTTTAAATATATATATCTCTCTCCCTCTTTCTCCACCCTCTCTCTCCTGCCGCCTCTTCTTCTCCTCTTTTCATTTCCCCTTGACCTCGTATATATTTGATGTATACATTTATATTGTTTCGTTGTTACCTATGATGCATTATGCAAGTGAACGTCACACTTCTAAGTTATTTTCTTTACAAATACGGATCAAATAAATAAAAACATGATAGGACATTATTCGTTTTTTCCTGTAGAGATTTCATGGGATCGAGCAAAGCGGATGTACAGCATGTTCCGACAGGCCAAGTGCGTGCTGAAAACATACTAGGGTTCCTCTTTAAAAATAACAATCTATCACAATAACCGCAACAAATTTAATACCTTTCATAACGGATGCGAGAGATATTAATCTTGGCATTATACTGTGTAGAATAACGTATCAGGAACTAGAAGTTAAAAGTGCATTTGGCAATCCTTATGTTTCTCTAACCACATTAACTTTCACTAAAGTACACTAATGGCTATTCCAAACCAGAAATCAGAGGTTATCATCACCATTCGATACAATTCTATTATATGCTCATCTACATGAGAAAACTTGGATGAATAACATGTAGGTAGTCTTAGTCCTAACAGATGCAGGTTTCGACAAACGCTGGTAGTGGTAGTGGTGGTGGTGGTGGTGGTGGTTGTGGTGGTGGAGGGGTGGCGCAAAATTTTACCTTGGGAGTGCATGGGCATTATGATACCTATGATTTAAAGTTGTATTAATGAAGCCATTTCTTAATTCTGGGCCAACCATCATTACTCAAATCTTTGTATACATTTCCAGTGCATTTTAATGGAATATAGCACGTACAAGTAGGAACCAAAATGGCAGATTTTGCCGTGTTCACCTTAAATCGGATTTTCGACCACGATCCCGTCGTCTGATAAAAAAATGTAATCTAGTAGATAAAAATGTGTAGAGTATATTCCCAGCTACATGATAATATAATACAGGAGACGTCAGAAGACGGATAGACGAGATATATATTCAAAACAACAACGGCAAATATTACCTAATGGAATCAAATTCTATTGTAAATGTACCATGTCGCATTTGCAGCCAACATCAAATTCTGTAGAAGTTTGCAGGATTTATGAATATGTCACGTATGTCTTATCTGTGAAATTTAAACGTTAACAGTGTCCTAGTATTCAAATTATGCAAGGAAACCCGTTTATTTTCTAGACTTCACTGTCAGACACTATTGCGTGACTGACTGACTTCTTTTTTTCTTTGGTAACATAATAACGAGCTGTAAAGGGTACATGAACATTTGTCTACATCAATATGTACAAAATTAAACTGATCGAAACTTTGCGCAGCTCACATAGTACGACCATTCGGTACAAGGGTCTGAAAATCAGACTATTTACTAAAAGGATTGCAATCCCCAAAGTCGATTCGACAACTAACGGTCGTTATTGATGGAAGTTCTAAACTAGTATTCACTTTCAAACCAGTGGAATTTAACCTTTTCATTTTTTGGCTTGCAAATGGGATTTGGAACCATCTAGATTCGCTAGTATACCAGATTTGAATTACTGAATTATGGAAAAAGTCCTCAAAGGCGATGACTGTTGATGTATATTGGAGTCCCCCTCCTAACAAAAGACAAAAAATATGTTTTCTGCCTGAGGAGAGACCAAGGTTTCCACTTTCTAGGCAGAATGCCCAAACCGCTATATGACGTGATTTGATTTGCATAGCAATGCCAATCAGGACCGACTCACTTAGCGAGAGATATGAATTACATTGTTTGTTCAGCTCTTGTTATGTGAATTTTCCTCTGGTTTCGTTTTTGGACCACGTGACTCGACTGACATGCACCAGGTACCTCCTCAATGTCACAAGACTGTGAAATACGGACTCACGCAGCCTATATAAACTTTTTGATGCGGGTAATCAGTCACATTTTCATGAACATCTGATGGAACGGAGCACATTTGTGCAACAGTAATTTGCATAAGACTGATTTCTAGATCATTTTCCCTGTCACACCGTATGTTTTGGCATCTGTCAAACCGGATTCATGACACAGAGACAAACGCTGCTCTTATCTTGCGAAAGAGACACTGTAAACGCCTTTATAACACGTCCTAGGAGAGACCTCTCATGTCACTTGTTGCCAATTACTTTAATTTGAACTGTGTAAGATTATGTGTGAATCCTTTTAGCTCCGCTATAATTGGATAAATAATTCTGAGAAGAGGACTCGACGCCTTATTCCACGATTCATTTCGCATTTAGCAGGATCTAGGCAAACAGTGAGTACAATATTTCAATTTTGACTCGTTACATCTAAATTCTGTTGATCCAATAAATAGCAACTATATGTAAGCTCATCGAAATAAAGTTACATACAATCCAAGCATATATTGCAGTAACCCTAATCCTTAGTAAATATCATAAAAAGATGAGACTTATGTAGAACTGATTCGTCAGTATATAGTAAAGGTACAGAAAAAACATATAGAAAACTTAGATCTTAACCTCTTTCGGGATTTTCTGAAATTTGAATTACGATAAATTACAATTACCTATTCGATATGAAAGTCAAGAGAATCTAGAAGGGCGGAGACTATGTTGATTGAGAAAATAGCTAAATTGGAGGCTCGCCATTGTATAACGCAATCTGTCACTCTCTCAAATGAAATCAAACCGTGTATATAAGAGTTAGAGTTGAGTATTATCAGATCTCGTGCTTCATGGGTTTAATACGGTGAAAAATACAAGGATTTCATTAAATTTAGAAAAGAGAAACCAGAGGCAAAAAACAATTACAAAATTAATTGATGACGATGGAAAAACTGTGACGTCAAGTAGAGATATCCTGTTCACGGCCAAAAAATACTTTGATAAATTTACTCATCGTGTCATCCGCCTTCTCTGGATATCAATGATTTCTTGTTGAATGATATAGAATGTTCCAAACTCTCAGATGATTTGCAGAAAAAATGTGAAGGTCTTACAATTTTACAAGATTGTATTGATGCACTCAAAACTATGAATAACAACAAGAGTCCGGGTGCTGATGGTTTTCCGGCAGAATTCTACAAATTCTTTTTTAAAGATATCGGCATCTTCATGCTTAGCAGCTTTGATTTTTGGTTTAAGCATGGTTTAATGTCACTCGAGCAAAGAAGGGGGATAATTCATCTTATCCCACAAAAGGCAAGGACCCTATATATTTGAGTAATTGAGACCTATATCAATTCTGAATGCAGATTACAAACTTATTGCTAAATGCACCTCTTTAAGACTGAAAAAGGTTTTGCCGACCATAATAAGCAACGAACAAACTGTTTTTTTTTATCTGGTAGATTTATTGGAGAAAATGTTCGGACTGCTTTGGGTACGCTGGAATTCACAAATAAAACTAATCAGCCTGGATTGTTGTTTTTTGCAGATTTCGAAAAATCATTCGATAAGATAGAGTGGTCATTCATACTTAAAACATTACGATTTTTCAATTTTGGCATCGACTTGATCAATTGGATTACAGTTTTATATAATGATTTGAGCTCAAGTGTTATATACAATGGTTTTGCCTCTGAATATTTTAAAGTAACATGCGGGGTATGACAAGGCTGTCCGTTAAGTCCCCTCCTTTTCATCTTAGGTAGTGAAATATTAAGTCTCAAGATTAGAAAAGACACCTTGATTAAAGGAATTAAAGTAAACAGCACATTAATTAAAATGAATGCTTATGCTGATGATACGGTATCATATCTGGAAGGCCGTAACGATCTGTTAAGAGTTTAAGATATTCTAGAAGGATTTAATTGCCTCACTAGCCTAGCAATAAACAAAAATAAATAAAATCTCTTAATTTTGGTTATTATAAAGCTCACCCGCCGGACATTGCTTCGTCTGGGTTGACGTTCAACACGGGTATTACTACTTTTCTGGGTGTACAATTTTCGGTGCAAGATGCCTTTTTAAAAGAGATCGAGTCTTTACTTTTTACATTTATTTGGAATGGAAAAACAGACAAAATAAACCGTAAAACAATAGTTGGAGACTACGTAGACGGAGGTCTGAGAATGTTACATTTACCCTCAATTATTTCAGGCTTAAAGATCGCCTGGGTTAAACGTTTGCTTGACGAAAGTAATGTTGGCCAATGGGAATGTTTTTATGAAGTTTATTTGGTTCCATTTAAAGGAAATCTTTTCTGGTATAGTAATATTGATATAAACGATTCGAGTATATTGATTCGATTAAAAACATTTGTATCTGGGAAGTTGCCCAGTCATGGGCCTCTTTAACACTCGATACGGAAATCAGTCCTTCCCATATCAGACGACAAAAATATATGGAACAACACTATGATTCGTGTAAACAAAAAAGTATTATTTATAAAGTAGGAATAATTGAATTATTGGATCTTCTTGACGAAAATGGTAATATTTTTACTTTATTTCAATTTAGAAACAAATGTAAGTTTGAATACAATTTTGTAAAATGTTATTCTGCGAAAACGGCTATTCCCCATAATTGGAAAAATAATATCTCTAAATGTTCAGAGGCAGACCTAACAGCTCAAGAGGGAACGATTATAAATATAATGAAGGTAACGAGCATATGTCGGTATATTCATAATTTAAGTGTTCAACAGGTTTTTATTCCCCCTAAATCAATAGATAAATGGAATTCTCTGTTAAATATCCCAAACATAGACTGGGCTAAAATTTTCTTAGTTCCTGTTCGGTCATGTTTATCTACACGGATCCGTTATTTTCAGTTTAAGATAATACATCGTATAGTTGGTGTTAATAAATATCTTAAATTATTAAATATTTCGAAGTCAGACTTATGTTCATTCTGTTATAACTCCGTGAAATCTATAGAACATTTATTTTGGGATTTCCCAATCATTATTAGGTTTATTGCGGATGTCCGATATTTCATTTTTAGAGGATAAAGTTACTTTGCATAAAATTAATTTCTTATTTGGATTTTATGGAAACGTTGGAGTTCAATTTAATTTTATTATTTTATTTGCCAAATACTAAATATTTTCTAACAAATGCAAAAATAGCGTACTATCACTAAATTCTTTTTAATGCATATTTAGGTATTATCGTTCTCTTGAACAGTACATTTATGTTAAAAATTACAAATTTGTATCATTTGATAATAGGTGGAAAAACATTTTGTTGCTATTACAAAAATTAAAAAAAATCTTTACCACCTTGTCCTGTATAATCAGCTCTATTCTTGTTGTTGATTCTATTGGTTATATTATGAATGTATATATATATATATACTTATATATATATATATATAAATATATATGTATGTATATATATATATATATATATATAAAAGTGCGAGAATTCTCAACTCTGACATGACAACGGGTGTTCCAGAATAATTATGTAGGCGTGAAGAAAAAGGTCTAGGAACGTGAGACGTAGCTGTACTTTACAAGTTTATTACGAGCTTTCGGCTTATGAGGCCTTCTTCAGGTTCTTGCTTGTATGTTTGGCTGTCGGTGTGTTTATTCAGTTGATGTGATATATCACGACTATAGGTTCCCATGAAAGACACATTTATAACATTTAAATATGTCAGTGAACCGGTCAATTTTTAGGACTTATGCCCAAGGCAATCCTTGAACCACCATACGGTGGACCCAATGTTTGTGATCATTTATCATATACATATCTTTATTTATATGTTGACATTTCTCCACAGCCTGGACACCATTCACAATGGCAGAGAGGCTGAAAACCGAAGAGGTGACTGAACCCCCTAGTGATAACACACCAAGTACAAGGTACATATATGTTAAGCAGAAGTCCACTGTGAATCATGTATAATAGTTAAATTTACACTGGTCACAGAATGCCAATAATCACTTTTGAGAGTAGTTCAGGTTATTATTCTTTAAAATGTCATACGAATGAACTATTGGTAGTAAATATAAACGATGTTCGACGTCTGTTGTAAAACATGGAGGTGCGTTCGTGGAAATGAAAATATGACGTTATTCGTTATTCATCTCAGAGGAAAAGAAATGATAAACATCGAACTATCAGGATACAACAAATCTCTTTATCAGTACACTAAAAAACATGACCAGTATATTTGAAGTCTTGATATACAAGAACACGTAATCATTAAATATATGAATACTGCTAGTTCACATACTGGTGTATTATGAAAACGAATAAGTAACATTTTTGATAAATCTATTGTTACTATATGTTAAATCAAGGAGTAATTTTAATAACTCCTTTGTTAAATAATGGATTCGCATACCGGTGACTTGAAAGATCAAGCAGGATAGAAATTTAAAATTGACCAGAATATTTTGTTTGATTATTCACTCAGTGATACGAAATTCGTGATGTTGAATGATTAGAAGGCTCGATAACATGTGTAGTATAAATTCAATTATAAAATGCTTTTTAATTAAAAAAAAAAAATATATATATATATTCTAGTGGTCAAACGTCGAGGCAAACACATGGATTCGATGACGTCATCATCACAGTAGCAAAAGCCGTATCAGATGATGGTGATATAAGGAGACTCGGTCTTGAGCTGGGAGTCCAGATTGCTGATATAAACCGGGCATTGGAGACGAATTGGGCTGGAGGTAAAAAGACCAGTGATGGTAATGTGATACTGCTTCAGAATTGGGCTGCGAACGTCACACCATCCGAGCAACTTCCTATTCTTAGAGCTGCTCTCCAGGCGGCGGGCTTAAAAGAAATAGAGGAGACCTGTCTGCGAAGGAAAGGTGAATTCAATTTTGTTTAGAAACTTTTAAGATCCGCATTGTTACGGTTGGAATATTTGGTAAAGTTGAAACCAAAATTTACCTCATTGTTTGGCGAACCAAAATTGGGCATGTTTCACTCCGAGTAACAATATTTTGAATAATTTTCGGTAAGAAGTAATCCTAATTGGAAAAATGGGTGCATATCCAAGTTGAAGTTTAAATTGTCTGAAAATTGTTAGATACTATCTACATTGGAAATACGATACGTACTCCACTGATAATTGCTCCGCGATTAATAGTTTATACTATGGCTTCTTAACTAATTTGAAGTTGATCTGAAAGTATGTTGAAGCGTGTGATATTAAAGAAATGTAAACCAATGCCCTATTAAGGGGTGATGAAGTATTTTTTATAATACCCCCCCCTGTTTATTCATTATCATGATTTTTCGGGGGTGTATTCAACCTTGTTTTTTTTCTTCTTCAAATCGAACGTGGTTGCATTTTAAGGAGTTTATAACTAATGTTATGTCTAATGAAACCTTTTTCATAATTTTGCTGTCACGAATGACTGAGCAGCAGCTTTTCAAAACTTATTATACAAATGCTATTGTACCAGATTTTGGCTGAAGAAATGGAAGAGGGCCAAAACCCTTGTTATTTCAGTTCGAAATCAATAGCTGACTTAGTCCCATTGGTTTTGTGCATTTGTTTACAATCACAAATTTATGATATTCTCTTTGTTATGATGCCACACTCTTGGCTTCTCTCCCATCCCGTGTTTAACACAAGCCTTATCATTGGGTCATTAAAAATGGACAAAGCTTACTCAAGGGATCCTATTTTTTCATGAAAGTCTGCTGTCAGTACCTGCGGTAGTTATGAACATGTGTGTTTTCTTGCCTTCACTAAATCTTTGAGATTAGTAAACCTCTGAGTTTTCATGCGCTTTTCGAGAAAAAGACCAATATGCTCCTTACTCATTTGAAGTGATGCAATGGAAAAGTGAGAAGAATGATCTTAAATATCATGAAACAAGGAATTAGTTGGCTTTTAAAAATGATTTAAGGTTATCCAGTGGATTGAAACGAGGTTCTTTGTAAGCTTAGATATATTGGATCACTTTAATCAATGAAGAATTGACGCATAAAGACAGATGAAGCAGAATTAAGCTTTTAAAAGGATTTTAATAGGAAGTTGTGACTTGGTCTAGCGGTTCCGTTCGGTTTGTCTTTGCTCACACATTAACTCTGACTCAAACTTTGTCATTAGAATGTAGTATGACTGGACACTTCAAAACACACATCAATTACAAAGATTAACGTCAGGAAGGGTTGTCAGATGCCCCATAATTGTCCACTGATTGTCGCTTTTCTTGCCTCGGTTTTCGATAAAACTTCACGAACCTATATAGGCCAATATAGTGAACTTTATTGGGTACAAATAAGAAACACGTGATCTGGATTAAAGGGCTATATAACTACAATGTTGCGGAAATGGATTGACCGTTTATGAATTGGATGGAATCAATACACTCATTACGAAAATTAGGGTAGTCGGAAGGCCCTTTCTTATATCTCCGTTTTTGTACTTTTTTGAGGGAGGTGTGAACAAATTTGTCTAGATGTAGCCCGACGCCCCCTCCCGTACTTCGGTGAGAGGTTGTTAATATCTGACTTGTTCTGATCCTCTCTCCTTTTCAGGTGAACATGGTGAGATGACCGACGAAGTACAACGATTAAGAGAGAAGTTACAGGCTAGATATATCGAAGAATTTAGCCAGGTCAAAGTATCTCCTATGGACCCCAAATCACGCACATGGCTGCATCATATCTTCGTCAGTCTCATTTTAATGTTAGGGTGTAAAGGAGATCAGAAAAAAGAAATTCGATATGAGGATCTGTTCAGTTTTATTAAAAAAAAGACTGATAAAGGATTCATAACACGGTTAGCCTTTCTTGGAGAAGCTGGTGTGGGCAAATCGACATTATTTGCAAAAATAGCTCTCGATTGGGCGATGGGTAAATGTCTCCAAGATATCACTCTTCTCTTTCACGAATCATTTCGAGACATAGAAGATAGCCCCTTCTTTGGTGATATTGTTATGAATCATTTCCCAATTGACACAGAGATCACAGGGGAATGGATTGATAAATACATCACGGAGAATCAAAGGAAGGTTCTGGTCTTACTGGACGGACTGGACGAGGCTAAAATGGACATAAAATGTCCAAACCGTAAACTTGCTATCGTCTCGATCGCAAGAAGGGAGAGATTCATTGACACATCTGTTCTCATTAGTTCACGTCCTTTTGGAGCTGATCAAATCAAGAGCATTCCTAAAATCCATGAAAAGTACTCCTACATACTGGTTGAGGGTTTTACAAAAGAAAACACAAATGAATACATCAAACAGTTTTTCAAAAATGACAAAGCTTCTGCATCCAGTCTCATCCACTTCATAAACACTAACAGCGTAGTTTCTGAGTTTATGGCACCATTCCCAATCTTTTGCTGTATGCTGTGTAACATGTGGACTGTAGAATCTAAGCGCAAAACAACTGAGAAGCTACAAACAATATCCCAACTAATGAAAGAGATTGATTTCGCTCTTAGGGAACAATATTCTTCAAGATACACTGACAGTGAGGGAGGGTATCAATGTCATATGGAGAAGGCTGTTGAAGCCATTACAAAGGTTGGTCGTGTGGCCTTCGAGGGGTTGCTGAAAAATCAGCTCATCTTCACCAAAGAGGAAATGGAAGCCTGCGATGAGGTTGATGATGTTGATGCGGTGATGGCAGTAGCATGTCAGGTTGGGATTCTGATGGGGAAAAAGAGGTTGGCCTCAAAGGAAATCAGACAAATAGAGGGAAAGCAATTCATTCAAGAGTTCTGTTTCCCTCACAAGCTACTGCAGGAACACACCGCAAGCCTATACCTCGCATCGTTGTATAACCACAACCGTTCGGAATTCAACAGAATCTTGACACACAAGCTCTTAAATGACTACAAGGAATTCAGATATGTCTTGTACTTCACTGTAGCTCATGGAGGTGAAGTAGGAAAGTCGGTCCTGGAAGCCCTATGCGAGAAAGTTCATAACATGGAGTTCATCATTGATTGTGCATTTGAATGTCATGATTCAGAAGCCATCGAACCCGTCAGGAACCTGTTGAAGACGGAGACACATCTTACGTTACCACCTAGTCTTTCAAACGCCGCATTTCTCTTCACACTGGAACCAATAGGAAAGGAAGTAGTAAGTTTCGTGAATATCAAAATTATAATTCATCATAAATGTTATTATAGTGAGGGAATACTGTCATCCGTTCAGCTTTCAGTAATTATATTTGCAAATTTGGCTACAAACAAAAGGACAACTACACATTATTCTGTTATATTTTGTCAAGCCTTCTGACCCATAATCGTTTAGAACTGCCATGTTGTCATTATATAGGTACTATAGTGGGCTGTATTCCAATGTGTAATCAGTCTCACAGGAGAACAAGAATTATGTCACCGTTTGCCTCTTCCTCATATATAACTTTAAAGGACTTAGGAAAGGAAGAGAATAACAATGTATGGCTCTTTCAGGATTAAACAAATAGAAAAATCTTAGCCAACCAGACGAACTATAGAAAATATAGGTCATTCTATTTTCAATTTGCCTTCCATAAGTACCTCAATAGCTATCCACTTTTCAGGTATACTTATTACAGATAATTAGAACAAACGATAATTCTAAATTTGATTTGTCCTGTACATTTCACCATCCATAATTTGTTATGATAAGAATGTGTATTTGTATCTATTCTATTTACATAAAACATGCTGTCGGAATCTAGCCTATTGGTGAAGACATCAACAAAAATAACTTGATGTTTTGTTTTCCTTTTACAAACGAATGCATGCTATAAGAATTGTTTGCATGAATTAAACCATTAGCAGGGGCGGATCCAGGATTTTCCAAGGGGGGGGGGGTGCATGAAATGTACAAAAATGCGAGCGCAGAGCCCTTACGGCGTGGGATCCGGGGAAAAAGGGCCCCTGATAAATTTGGACCTTAAAGACGCACGTTCCCCGTTTTCCAGAGGGCGTTCAAAATACGTACGCACTGGCGGACGGTGCTAGCTGCCTATGGTCACCAACAGAATACGGCTCTTACGCAGATGGCATGTTCTGAATGCACGAACAATGCAGATTATCGCATACATGTGCCGAAGTAATACCAATCGCAGTTCGGCTCTAAAAATTCGGCTGCTGTTTCCGCCCACTTTCGTGACGTCACGATCGGCAGGGATCAGCTGGCTTGGCGAAGGCAGGCTGTACTACATTCACGTTAGTCCCCTGCGTGCGGTCCCCCCCCCCTCTCCTCGAACTTTGATTGACAGCTGTATGCAAATTAGAAGTCGATCTTCGGAACCAAGATGGCGATGACTAGAGCAGCGATAACTACACTGGCGGGATTATGCGTCTTAAGATGCTCTATAATACATTCTGATGCATTTCTGAATGTGTAAACTAAACATTTTATGTGCATATTTCCTAGCTTTTTTCCTGCTATTTTTTCGGAAGGAAAAGGGGCCTGCGCCCCGACGCACCCCCTGGATCCGCCCCTGATTAGCATGGTATGTTTGATTATAATTATTGAAAATAATATTTATTTATCGAATGCCAAAATTAATTTGTTGTGTAGGTAAGAAGACGTTCCTCGATTCGTGACACATTGGGTGTTAGTGAGTCCTTCGAAGCTAACGCACCATCGTCTGATGTAGCTGCAGCAGTAGGTCTCTTCACATTGCAGAACTTACGAGGGTTGCACATTAAAACCGAGCGTCTGGATGACAAATTCTACACAGGAATGTCTGCTGCAGCTCCACAGTCCATGGTTTCTGATTATTATATTAATGTTGATGAATTCTAAATCATAATTATCATTATTTCTTAATCGATGCATGCTATGTGTTGCTCAAAGTACAAATCCACTTCAAATATACCTTGCCTTTAACAGAAGCAGAGAAATCAGACAAATCAATTAAAAAAAAAGTTCGAGCATAATCGGATAACTATTAAGAAGGTTATGTATTTTTGAAAATTTATGTAAAACTAAAAAACAATGGAAATCACTTCACAAATTGCTAATTTGGTGTTCAGTTTGTGACGTCATGTCCTCACTATTTGTCAATTGCTTTATATAGTTTAATCCCATTAATCCCCCAAATCTTGATTTCCCCATACCTTTGCCCAGGTTATATATGATTTGTATCATATTGCTTGCATGACATTTCACAATTTTTGTTATGAAATTTGAAGAACTGATACTATTTTCTGAATATTGTTTATTCATAATTATTGAATTTTATATAAATAGTTTATCAAAATTCACATTTTTCATGATTTAACTGGAAAAAATGAGTGCATCCACACAAAAACGTATTACTATCAATCTAACTTGGATGCTGGTGTGAAGAAATAAGATTCTTAGGGGGAAAATAAGGAAATTTTTATTATCAATATAAAGAGAAAAAAAATAGTGGCTAGTGAGGACATGACGTCACAGACTCATAAGTGAGTTGCCAATTTGTGTAGTGATTTTCAAAGTTTTTTATGTTATTAAAAATTCATAACTTTCTTATTAGTTATCTGATTTTGCTCAAACTTTTTTTGATTGGTTTGTCTGATTTGTCTGGTTCTATTGAAAGTAAGTTATTTTTGGAGTGGACTTGCCCTTTAAAAACAAAATGTTACATTCATGAACAAAACTTGCTTATTTTCATTCATAATTTCGGTCACTTCTTTTCACAAAGGTGAGACGTCTAAGCATCATGAAAAGCTTGTAAAAAGGGTCTAGCTCTCCTCTTCCTTCCGTTCCACCCACATTCTCTTCCTTTTTACTTATCATTGATATGTATCTTCCTTTGTCAATTTTCTCTTTGTCTGTATGTGGCGGCGCTTGGGACATCAAGGAAAATCTAACCCCAGTCAAAGTCTTTGCCACCCTCCAATATAGGAAGAAATCAGTTTTAACTTTTATCTTTTTCTTCTTGTTCTTCTTCTTTATCTGATTTGTTTATTAGGTTAATCTTTATTGGGGATTTTTCACACAGGGATAGAAGATGATATATTTTACACTTCACACACTATTATAGGACGCAGGACATTTTTCACACAGGGATAGAAGATGATATATTTACACTTCACACACTATTATAGGACGCAGGACATTTTCCACTCGGGATGGGAAGAATTATTCACTTGACGCCTTTCCTTGCCGCCAGTGCACCCCTACACTTTTACAATTATCCTGCCGCAAGTTCAAGTTGATACACATAAACACGCTCAGTGACGTATAGACTGGAAAGTCGGTCTTTAATTATGATCATGATTGAACATAATTATCCATCATTTACAGCTGTACTAGTGTTATTACAATATTGAACACGTTCAAAAAGTAATATAATATAGAAATCATATAACTGTAACTGTCGAATTAACAAGGGAGAGAAAGAAGGTAAACAGTATCGCCCGCCGTCCTACCCCACCCCGGCACTTGAATAGGATCAAATTAGATATCTATATTTACTTTAAACAAAAAATTAGTATTTCGCATAATACTTTTAGAAAATATTTAAATTTTGACAGTAGTCGCAGGAAATTAATTCTACATATGCATTGTAAATAGACGGATATAACACTTTTATTCTGCTCGAACAGGCGCGGTCTCTTTTTCTAACTATCTAGAATTAATCACAATTGTTTGTCTTTCTTCATCTCATCTTTCTTTGCTCTTACCACACTCATTTATTTTAGGATTTTTTTCTGTCTTTCTTTCTCTGTCTCTGTATCTGCCTCCCCCTTTTCTCTCTCTCTGTTCCCTTGATTTAAAAGCCTAAGTAGATGTTGATAATGTTATATTAATTACCGTAAGAATATTTAAAAAAAAGACACGTCATCTATACTTGATAAAACTATTCAATTTATTCAACCTGTTCTGTCACATCACCAGATTGAGAACCTTGGGCACGTGAACCCAGGTCTGAGTTCTGCTGAACTGGATATGCCCACTGTGACGCTGAGTGATGAGTTCCACTCAACGATGGCCTCTGAGGCATTAAGATCAATGGTATACCAAACACGATTTCTATTCAATTCAATTCATCTTTATTCAACGATATAAAAGAAAATAGTACAATGCAATAAAACATATTGACATAAGCATATACATGTGTAAAATTAACATATCGTTAGGGGTAACCAAAAAAGATCAGGATCTTGTGGACTGGTGCCCCTTTGACAAAATTAACAAATTATAAGTAAAACATTAATAATAATCACAAGCAGTCACATCCAACACACACACACACACACACTCACCCAAGAGAAGGGAAGGAGAAAGAGAGATTACATGTACAGTGTACATATATGAGGTAAACTTGTGAAAAAGATATATGGAAATCAAGAAGTATATTTATGAATAAAGTGACTTTTAAGTAAGACTTTGAAGGAGGAGGCTGTTGAACATGGACGAATGATTGTATTTAAATTATTAAAAATCTTCGGTCCTACATGTTTAAAAGAATTATACATTGGTTAATAGAAGTTAATGGAAGGTGAAATTGGGAAGCTGAACGTGTGTAATACTGATGAAAATCATTATTAAAGTTAAACAAATTAATTATATTGGCTGGGGCCATTTTATGTTTAATTCATATATATGATAAATATTAAGTGTTTTAATTAAAAAAAGAGGGGGCGAGATGGCGCAAAATAAGGTGACTTTGTACAAATGCGTAAGGCTTTTTTCTGCAGTTTATGAAATGGTTCTAATTTGCATTTCGCAACGTTGGCCCAGGTAATGTTACAATAATGGATAAAAGGAAGTATAAGTGAATTATATAGCATGAATAAATGTTTTTTGGGTAGAATAGAACGCAATTTACAGATAATTCCGATATTTTTAGAGATCTTTTTTAGTATGTACATACGATGGTTTTGAAAAGTAAGTTGATTGTCCAATAAAACTCCAAGAAATTTCAGGAAGTTAGAAACATTCAAGTATATATCATTAATTTTCACTTTGATTGTATGAGGAGGAAACTTAATATTAGTTTAGAGAAATACAGAATACATGTTTTGTCATGATTAATTACTAACTTATTGGAATCAAACCAGTCAACTATTTTGCCTAAATCTTCGTTATTCTTATGTAGGAGCGTATTAAAGTCTTTATGTGAGGAAATGATATTGGTATCATCAGCAAATAAAACAAAATGAAACAATGAAGTAGCATTACACAAATCATTAATGTACAGCAAAAATAACGAGGGACCGAGTATGGATCCCTGCAGAATTCCGCATTCAACCTTCGAAAGAGATGAATCAAAATTATTATACCTTGTATATTAGGACCTATTCTGTAAATAACTATTAAACCAGTCTAAGGCTACACCACGAATTCCAAAAATACGGTAACTTATACAAAAGAATATTATGGTCAATCAGATCGAATGCCTTTGATAGATCAAGGAAAATACCAAGTGAATGAAAATTATTATGAATATTATTTAATAGTACATCATGTAGTTCCATCAGTGCAAGCTCACAAGAATGATTTGATCTGAAACCATATTGGGCATTAGTTAATAAAGTATTCTTATTTATATGATTAGCTATACGGCTATACATGATTTTCTCTAAGATCTTTGAGAAGCAGGGTAATAAGGTAATGGGTCTATAGTTAGAAAATAAATGTCTATCACCTCTTTTATACACTGTAACTATTCTACCAATTTTCATTTTGTTTGGGACAGAGCCCGTACACATAGATAAATTAACAATATGAACCAAGGGAACAGCAATTGAATGAATGACTTTCTTAATAAGATGCATGTCATCAAACCCTGCACCCTGCACTATTGGAAATGATTTGTTGCCAGTTTTGCGTTCTTTAAACCGAACTTATGGGGTAACCGTTTTTCACACTTTTTTAAGAGATCTTTATTTCCATCAATTATGGGGGGGGGGGGGGAGGGTGGTGGGGTAGCACAATATCAAATGTCCCACCATGTTTTCGACCTCCTTTATCATGAAGCTCAAGTATTGCTCTGTGCAAGACCAAACCATGTGTCAACGGGCCTTTTCTACTTAATTATGGCAAAAAAGATGGTAACGTTAATTTACCATACGAGGGCCCCCCCGCTTATTAACCGGCTAACTGATTCACCGCTAAATTTTCTCAGGGATTGGGCTCCCCTTTGCCCCCCTCCATTTAAAAAAGGATTAACTGCACTGGTGCATTGTAAATAGACAGACATTCACAGACACGGTCTCTCTTTTCTAACCATCAAGAAATAATCACATTATTTTGTTTGTCTTTCTTTATATATCTGGTCTTTCCTTGATCTTACCACACCCATTTTCCTCGGGGTTTTTTTTCTCTCTCTCTCTCTCTCCCTTCTCTTTCTCTTGCAAAAAAAAAATCTATGTAGAGGTTGAAAATGTTAAATTGATGACAATGAGAATATTTAAAGTAGATATGTCGTCTCTACTTGATAATACTATTCAACTTATTCATCCTGTCCTGTCACACCACCAGATTGAGGAGCTTACGCAAGAAATGGCAAAACTGGGTTCTGCTGCATCATCTCATTACGCGAGAGCTCTCTGCTCTATGCCAAATCTTCGATCACTGTGTCTCAACCGTATAAACCTGAGTGACGAGTTCTACTCGACGATGGCCTCTGAGGCATCAAGATCAAAGGTATACCAAACACAATTTCTAATGGAAATGATTTGTTACCAGTTTTGCATTCTTCATGCTCTGTTTATGGGGAACTGTTTTTGTTAACACTTTTTAAAAAGAAATCATTCATATTCATCAGTTACGAGTACTCTCATATCAATATTACAAATAGTTTGGCCATGCTAACAAGGAATAAATCACGTGAATACCATGGAATTTGGTGTCATAATGATATAGATTCTTGTAAAAGCGTGTTTTAAAAGCACGTATACTATAAACAGTATTTCGCATTCTATATTTAGAAAGTATGTACATTTTGTCAGTAGCTGCAGGAAGTTAATTTAACATGCGCATTGTAAATATACACACTTTAATTTTGCTAGAACAGACACTTTCTGTATCTCGTCTTTCCTTGCTCTTATGCCTAAGTCACACCTTTGCGTATTTGGCTTGCGTATTGCTGCGTATTTATGGCAAGCCGTTTCAACATTTATTAATATTTCTTGATATCAAGAAATGAATTCTAGATATCAAGAAATGGAATTCTTGATATCAAATATTACCATTGCTTTACAACAGAAAATCATTTCTTGATATTAAGAATTCATTTCTTGATATCAAGAAATAGGAATAAATGTTAAAAGGCTTGCCATAAATACACAGCATTACGCAAGTCAAATACGCAAAGGTGTGACTGAGGCATTTCCACACCCATTTCCCTCGGCTTTTTTCTCTATCTCTTTCTGCCTCTCAATATTTCTCTGTCTCTGTCCCAGTCTCTCTTTCCTTTTCTCACTCTTTCTCTTGCAAAAAACTCTATGTAGAGGTTGATAATGTTACATTGATGATAATGAGAATATTTAATTTAGACATGTCCTGTCACATCACCAGATTGAGGACATAACGCACATGAACCCAGGTCTGAGTTCTGCTGCATATTATTGCCCCACTGTGACGCTAAGTGATGAGTTCGACATAACGATGGCCTCTGAGGCATTAAGATACAAGGTATACCGAACACGATTACTCCTGGAAACGTTTTAATGCCATTTTTGCGTTCTTTAAACTGAAATTAACTGTTTGTCACAATTTTTTAAGAAATCCTTTATTTTCATCAGTAATGAGCACTCTCATATCAATATGATAAATAGTTTGGTCGTGCTGACGAGGAAAAAACCCACGTGAATACAATGAACGTTGGAGTCAAAATGATATAGATTCATATAAAAGCGTGTTTTAAAAGCATGTATACTATAAACAGTATTTCGCATTCTATATTTAGAAATTATTTTGAATTTGAATTTATTAACAACAACATATCACAACAATGACAGTACATATGAACAATCATACAATGCAAAGAATAAATACTGATACATGTATAGATAAAATAAAAGTAATGCTGATTGAACAGTAATGGTTTAAAAACGATATTTAGACATAGCTCTGCATACTATTAAATGTACAAAAGATATATACGTAAATATGTGTATTACTGTAAAGTTGTTTATGGGAGCTAGAATAGAGCACAAGTGCTAGTCGAGCTTTGTTCCATTCTTTGGCAAGAATTTTTAAAAACATTTGTTAATAAATATGATTGTAAAACTTTTGTTCGTCTTTCTTTATCTAGTCTTTCCTTGCTCTTAATGCCTAAGTCACACCTTTGCGTATTTAGCTTGCGTATTGCTGCATATTTATGGCAAGCCGTTTTAACATTTATTCTTATTTCTTGATATCGAGTATTACCATTGCTTTACAACAGAAAATCATTTCTTGATATCAAGAAATAGGAATAAATGTTAAAAGGCTTGCCATAAATACACAGCATTACGCAAGTCAAATACGCGAAGGTGTGACTGAGGCATAACCACACCCATTTCCCTCAGGTTGTTCTCTCTATCTCTCTCTTTTCTCTTTCTCTCTCTTTCTCTTTCTCCCTTCTCTTTCTTTTACAAAACAATTCTACGAAGAGGTTGGTAATGTGTCATTGATGACAATGAGAATATTTAAATTAGACATGTCGTCTATACTTGTATACAAATATTATACAGATATTGATTACCTAGAGGGTCAATATAACATTTGAGATGCTCGAGGGACATTATATTTTTCCGAAGCGCATAGCGCTAAGGAAAACTATAGTATTCCGAGATATAATATAACTTCCCAAGGGAAATGAAATGTTACAGTGTTCCCGAAGGAAAGAGTCAATATATGTTATATTATGATGACCTTTATTAGATACAAAACAAGATGCAGTCTCTTCTGTGTGTGCAATTTTACCGGCACGAGAGCTGCAGTACTTGGTTCTGGTCCTGGTCCTGCATGGACTAGCCTCTAGTATTACTAATAATATCGGGATGAATGCTAGCAGAAGTGGATGGTGCTGTAGGACATTAACAAAATGTCAAAACCGAAAGCACTCACCTTTTTAAAATGTCTCTGCAATCCATATCACAGTGTTATCATGGAACGCTCACTGTACAATTCACCATTCGATCTAGAACCTCCGCATTAAATGATGAAAGGCTGAAAAGTAAACTTACTCACTAACTCAGTTCAGTTGCTATACATGTTTCTGAAATTGTTGTAAATCCTGTATTCACTGGAAGCTTGCAGCACATTCTCAGCTACATTGGTGACTTTCTTAGTATTTTTCATCAATTTTTCGTCAAATTCTTCCTCACGGCTCGTTTAAGCTGCTATTTTGACGAAAATAATTTTGTTGCAATTTCATATTTCGCGCTGCAATATAATGCAATGCGTGTATATTTGTGTGCGAAGCGGCGGTGTACGTGTGAAGTGCATTGAACTTGTCGAGTGAGCTTGAGGTATTACGTAAATTACGTCATACCTCTGGATATAATGACGCAGTTTACGTCATACCTCTGAATATAACGCTTCTCATCCTTGTAGCGATGGTCATGTGACAGCATTTTGACCAATCGCGCATTAGTATCGATATAGGTCATTTACTATATAATACTATTCACCTTATTCATCCTGTCCTGTCACACCACCAGATTGAGGAGCTAAAGCACGATACGGTAAAACTGGGTTCTGCTGCATCCTCTCATTACGCGAGAGGTCTCTGCTCCATGCCAAATCTTCGATCACTGTATCTGTACAATGTGAAGCTGAGTGATGAGTTCTACTCGACGATGGCCTCTGAGGCATCAAGTTCAAAGGTATACCAAACCCGATTTCTATTGAAAAAGATTTCTTGCCAGTTTTGCATTCTTCGTACTCATTTCATGGGGTAACTGTTTTGTTAAACACTTTTTTAAAAGACATCATTTATTTTCATAAGTTACGAGTACTCTCATATCAATATTAGTCTTTTTACAAAAAGTTTGGCCATGCTGACAAGACAATAAATCACGTGAATACATTGAACTTTGGTTTCATAATAATAATATAGATTCATATAATAGCGTGTTTTAAAAGCACGTATTTTATAAATAGTATTTCGCATTCTATATTTAGAAATTATGTAATTTTTTCAGTAGTTTCAGGAAGTTAAGTCTACATGTGCATTGCAAATAGACAGACATAACACTTTAATTCTGCTTGAACAGACCACGGGCTATCTTTTCTAACTATCTAGAATTAATCACATTTGATTGTTTTTCTTTATCTCTTCTTTCCTTGCTCTTACCACACCCATTTCCTTCGTGTTTTTCTCTCTATCTCTCTCTGCCTCTCATTATTTTTCTGTCTCTGTCCCAGGCTCTTTCTCTCCCTTCTCTTTCTCTTGAAAAAAGTCTATGTAGAGGTTGATAATGTTACATTGATGACAATGAGAATATTTAAATAAGACATGTCGTCTATACTTGGTGATACTATTCACCTTATTCATCCTGTCCTGTCACACCACCAGATTGGGCAGGTAACGCACGATACGGCAAAACTGGGTTCTGCTGCATCCTCTCATTACGCGAGAGCTCTCTGCTCTATGCCAAATCTTCGATCACTGAATCTCGACTGTATGAAGCTGAGTGATGAGTTCTACTCAACGATGGCCTCTGAGGCATCAAGATCAAAGGTATACCAAACACGATTTCTATTGGAAGCGATTTGTTGCCAGTTTGGTATTCTTCAAACTTAACTTATGGGGTAACTGTTTTTGTTAAAACCTTTTAAGAAGACATCATTTATTTTCATCAGTTACGAGTACTCTCATATCAATATTACAAATAGTTTGGCCATGCTGACAAGGAAATAAATCACGTGAATACAAATGAACTTTGGTGTCATAATGGGGTCAAGGACATCTACCCCCTGGACAACCACACCCCGGATAACCACCCCTAGGATAACCGCCCTCTAGGACAACAATCCCATGGGGCAACCACCCTCTAGGACAACTACCCCCGGACAACTATCCCCCAGAAAACTACACCAGGAAAACTACCCCCGGAAATCTACTCCCAGACAACTACCCCCAAGAACAACCAACTCCCCGGACAACTACCCCCAGACAACTAATTGTCTTTCTTTATCTTGTCTTTTCTTGCTCTTATATATACCACACCCATTCCCCTCAGGTTCTTCTCTCTATCTCTCTCTGCCTTTCATAATGTCTCTGTCTCTGTCCCAGTCTCTCGCTCTCTCGCTCTTTCTCTCCCTTCTCTTTCTCTTGCAAAAAATAAAAGTCTATGTAGAGGTTGATAATGTTACATGGATGACAATGAGAATAATTAAATTAGACATGTCGTCTATACTTGGTAATTCTATTCACCTTCTTCATCCATCCTGTCCTGTCACATCACCAGATTAAGAGGCTACAGCACTGGAACACGGATATGAGTTCTGCTTCACTGCATATGCCCTATGTGACGCTGAGTGATGAGTTCCACTCAACGATAGCCTTTGAGGCATTAAGATCAAAGGTATACCAAACATGTTCACCAAAAACATAATTGCAATGAGGGGTAATTTTTAGATACTATATGTTATAACAAAGTAGTCGTGTACAATCTTATGCTTTTGTTTTAGTTCTCATTTACATATTTCGTATTGCATGACTTATTGTTTATTTAGAAAGGTGTTGTAAATGTTTTATATTATGTTTTATATATCGATTGTTGCATTACATTGTAAAGTGATTATAACTATGTCTATAAACAGAATATTGATGTACATCAATGATGTTTAATAAATACAATACAATACATGATATCTATTGGAAATTATTTAATGCCATTTTTGTGTTCTTTAAACTATAGTTATGGGTAACTATTTTTTCACAAGTTTTGAGAGATAATTTATTTTCATCAGTTATGAGCACTCACACTATCAATTAAATAAATAGTTTGGTCATGCTGGCGAGGAAATAAATCACGTGAATACAATGAACGTTGGTATCATAATGATGTAGATTCATATAAAAGCGTGTTTTAAAAGCACATAATCTACTAATATTATTTCGCATTCTGTATCTATAAATTATGTAAATTTTGTCAGTAGTCGCAGAAAGTTAATTTTACATGTGCATTGTAAATAGACAGACATAACACTTTTATTTTGCTAGAACAGATACGGTCTCTCTTTTCCAACTATCTAGAATTAATCACATTTGTTTGTCTTTCTTTATTTCTTCTTTCCTTGTTCTTCCCACACCCTTTCCATTTCCTTTGGGTTTTCTCTCTCTGCCTCTCATCATTTCTCTGTCTCTGTCCCAGTCTCTCTCTCTCTCTTTCTCTCGTTCTCTCCCTTCTCTTTCTCTTGCAAAAAAAAAGTAAAGCACCCTGACACTTGCACGATTTCGGTTCACGCATGGTTCGCGCATTGTTTCGTTCTTGCCACAACGGAAAGCGTTTGCGGAACATGCGGGAAAAGGCTTGAATTCGTGGCAGAATTTCAAAATGTTCAAAATTTTGGCACGACAAATTTGGTGGACGACTTTCGTGAACACTTCGCGAACTATGCGTATTATATACGTATCCTACCCTTGTCGGTACTGACCGGTGCGTGCCAATGCCCGAGTAGCACGCATATTTACGACCAGTTCACGACGGATTTACGAATAAATTGCTCATAATTTGCGCATCGGCAGCGCATCGACTGCGCATACTTCCCGCATCGGCTGCGCATACTTCCTGCACAGTTTTCATATTATTTGCGCAAGGTCTACGCATGCGCATGCGACGGCCTAGAAAATAAAGGAAAAATGACAAGAAAAAGTGACCGCTGAAAGCCTCTCGGGCCAATCGTTAAAAATTTCCTGGATTAAGACATTGGTAATTGGCTCAATAGATAGCAATATCCTCTGTCTTTTGCAATCTCTCTTGCCTGAACTGCAAGATTTAAAATTGTATATGGGAAACAATTATTTTCGGGAACTGGCAGGTAAAACAAAGAACCTTTTTGGAAAGAAATGTTCATGGCTTATAAAACGCTCTTGTCCATGCATGGTGAAAACATTTTATTCCAACCCTTATGGAATAATGATAACATTAAAATAGGCAATATCCCAATATATAGTTTAAAATTGTGTAAAAAGGGAGTTCGTTTTGTTAATGATATTTTAGAGACAAATGGTGATATTTTTTTTCTTTCTCTGGAACATTTCCAAGAAAAGTGTAATATTCAAATAATTTATTTATTATCTTGGTTTACACGATGCAAATAGAGAATGGTTTAACAATTGTACTATTTTTCACAAGGTGCCACAACCCCTTTCACCCAGATACAATGGCATTTGTTTTGAAACGTATTAAAGCCGATGTTCACATATCTATGCAACTTTATTAAAGAGAAGGAAAGGAGTATGTAAACGTTTTCTTAAATGGAAATGTATTTTCAACCTGAATGAAAAGAGTTGAGAAACATAATTGTCCCATTGGATTGAATTGTACCCTTGATGTGGGCTTACGATGGTTTCGGTTTAAGGTTTTGCAACGTATATTATATACGAACGATCTACTAATGAATTTAGTCCCAAGAAAATAATGTACATTTTTTAAAGAACAGATTGAAACAGTTATACAGTGATTGTACGCATCTAAAACATATTTGGGATAGGTTGGAGCATTGGATATAATACTGGAACCGGAAATAAATTACCATTTTCATTACAAGATTAACTATTTGGTTAAGAGGTTCAAATAATTATTCATTGAATTGTATGTTGATTGTGGTGCGACAGATGGTGTATACTTGCAAAATAAAGAAACAACTGCCCGAGTTTGATAATATTAAAGTTTCGATTATAAATTATTTCAAAAACAAAAAGTATATTGCAGATTCGAATTGTAGAAATAATTAATTCACAAGAAAATGGTTTCAATTCAGGAATTTGTTTACATAAAATGATATTTATCTCTATTTTCTTCTTTCCATGAGTGCCAAAAATGAATTATTAAACATTTGTTAGTTTTCTGTTGAATCAACAGTTCATCTTGAGAAGCCAATTTTATTTATGTTATACATGTTAATTATCTTGAATATATATTTATTAATTTGTTGCAAATGAAACTCAATAAAATCCCTGTGGAGGGAAACATATGGAGAAAAAAAAAATCTCGTGACAATGCGTGAATAATGGCGTGAACAATACGTAACTATGGCGTAAGTATTGTGTTTGCTATTTTGATGACCAATTCATTTTGCTACCAAGTTCACTTTCCCACGGCTTAGTGTCTAGATCCTTACTCCCCATTTAATCCATGCGTACATAAACACCAGCTACATCCAGCTGTGTCTATACCACCCTGTATATTATGATGTTATGTAACCAAGATTGAGATGCTGTATATACATGAGGAGTTGAGACGAGAATAAAGCACTGTTGCATTCAGACACCAAGCAATCGAGTCATGCCTGATATATAGTCAAGTTGTTATAGCACAGAATAGAAGAACACAAAAGTAAGTATGGCGTAAGTATGGCGTAAGTAGGACGTAAGTATGTCGTGACGGGACAATGCTTATCATGTTGTTACGCATTGCACGAACGATACACGGTCTTCGTGCAACTAAATGTCATGCACTGTCACGCCTCAATGCGGGGCAATGCGAGAGCCAAAATTCGTGAAAGTGTCAGGGTGGCTTAGGTTGATAATGTTACATTGATGACAATGAGAATATTTAAATTAGATATGTCATCTATACTTGATAATACTATTCAACTTATTCATCCTGTCCTGTCACATCACCAGATTGAGGAGCTGGAGCACGAGACGGCAAAACTGGGTTCTGCTGCATCCTCTCATTTCGCGAAAGGTCTCTGCTCCATGCCAAATCTACGATCACTGAATCTGAACCGTGTTACGCTGAGTGATGAGTTCTACTTGACGATGGCCTCTGAGGCATCAAGATCAAAGGTATACCAAACACGATAACTATTGGAAACGATTTGTTGCCACTTTTGCATTCTTCGAACTCAACTTATGGGGTAACTGTTTTTGTTAAAACTTTTAAAAAAGACATTATTTATTTTCATCAGTTACGAGTACTCTCATATCAATATTACCAATAGTTTTGCCATGCTAACAAGGAAATATATCACGTGAATACAATTAATTTTGGTCTCATAATGATATAGATTCTTATAAATGCGTGTTATAAAAGCATATATTCTATGAATAGTATTTCGCATTCTATATTTAGAAATTATGTATATTTTATCAGAAGTCGCATGAAGTTAATTTTGCATGGACATTTGTAATTGACAGACAAAACACTTTTATTTTGCTAGAACAGACACGGTTTCCCTTTTCTAACTATCTAGAATAAATCACATTTGTTTTTCTTTCTTAATCTCGTCTTTCCTTGCTCTTTCCACATCCATTTCCCTCGGGGTTTTCTCTCTATCCCTCTTTCTCTCTCATTATTTATCTGTCTCTGTCCCAGTTCTTCTCTCTCTCTCTATCTTTCCCTTATATTTATCTTGCAAGAAAGTCTATATAGAGGTTGATAATGTTACATTGATGATACTTAGAATATTTAAATCAGACATGTCGTCTATACTTGATAATATTATTCACTGTATTCAACCTGTCCTGTCACACCACCAGATTAAGAACCTAACGCACGAGAATGCAGATCTGGGTTCTGTTGCATCGTCTCATTACGCGAGAGGTCTCTGCTCCATGCCAAATCTTCGATCACTGCGTCTCGACAGTGTGAAGCTGAGTGATGAGTTCTACTCGACGATGGCCTCTGAGGCATCAAGATCAAAGGTATACCAAACACGATTTATATTGGAAACGATTTGTTGTCAGTTTTGCATTCTTCGAACTCAAAAGGAATAAATCACGTGAATACAATGAAATTTGGTGTCATAATGATATAGATTCTTGTAAAAGCGTGTTTTAAAAGCACGTATTCTATAAATAGTATTTCGCATTCTATATTTAGAAATTATGTACATTTTGTCACTAGTCGTAGGGAGTTTATTTTACATGTGCATTGTAAATAGATAGACAACACTTTTATTTTGCTAGAACAGACACGGTTTCTCTTTTCTTACTATCTAGAATTAATCTCATGTGTTTGTCTTTCTTTATCTCGTATTTCCTTGCTCTTACCACACCCATTTCCCTTGTGCATTTAGCCCGTCTCTCCCTCTCTATATCTCTGTCTCTGTCGCCCTCTGTCTCTCTCTCTCTCCTTTCTCTCTCTTTCGACCTTTTCTCTTTTTTTTGCTTTAAACGTCTTAGTATAGGTTAACGATGTTACATGAATGACAAATGAAACATATTTAAATAAAAAATGTCGTCTATACTTGACATTACTGTTCGCCATATTCAACATGTCCTGTCACATCACCAGATTGAGACGCTAAATCACATGACGGCAGACCTGGGTTCTACTGCATCCTCTCATTACGCGAGAGGTCTCTGCTTCATGCCGAATCTTCGATCATTAAATCTGTTCAGTGTGAAGCTGAGTGATAAGTTCTACTCAACGATGGCCTGTGAGGCATCACAATCAAAGGTATACCCAAACACGGTTTGTACTGGAAACAATTTTTTTTTCCAAAATATTTTTACATTCTTCAAATTCCATATATGGGTCAACTTTTTTTTCACACTTTTTATAAAAAAAAAATCAATTATTTTATTTGTCACGAGCACTTTTGTATCAATATAATAAATTGTTTTGCCTTTCTGACAAGGAAACAAATCAAATGAATAGAATGAACTTTCGTGTTATAATAATATAGATTCATAAAAAATGTGTATAAAAGTGCTTATCCTATAAAATGGAAGACGCATTTCTAAAAATAAATTTCTTATAATATGCCAATTGTCGCAGGAACTTAATGTTACATGTGTATTGTAAATAGACGGATATAACACTTTTATTCTGCTTGAACAGACATGCTATCTCTGTTATATCTATCTATAATTAATCACGTATGTTTGTCCTTCTTCATCTCGTCTTTTTTGCTCTTACCCGACCAATTTCCCTTGGCTTTTTTTCTCTCTATCTCTCTCTATCCTGGTTTCTCTCGCTCCCTCTCTCCCTCTCTCTCTCCCTCTCTTCCCTTTCCCTTCCTTTAAAAGTCTAGGTAGAGGTTAATATCGTTACATTAATTACAGTAAGAATATTTAAACAAGAAATGTCTTCTATATATACTTGATAATACTGTTCAACCTATTCAACCTGTCCTGACACATTACCAGATTGAGGGGCTATATCACTACAACGCGGATCTGGGTTTTGCTGCATCCTCTCATTACGCGAGAGGTCTCTGCTTAATGCCAAATCTTCGATCACTGAAACTGGCCGATGTGAAGCTGAATGATAAGTTCTACTCGTCGATGGCCTCTGATGCATCAAAATCAAAGGTATATCCAAACACGATTTCAATTTGGAACGATTTGTTTCGCAATAATTTCGCATTTTACAAATTCGACAAATGCGGTAACTGTTTTCTTCACACTTTTTAAAAATTAATCATATATTTTTATTAGTCACGAGTACTTGTAACAATATGATGAAAGTTTTGCCATGCCGACAAAGAAACAAATCAAGTGAATAGAATGAACTTTCGTGTCATAATAATATAGACTCACAAACAAGCGTGTATAAAAGTGCTTATCATATAAAATGAAAGACACATTTTTAAAAAGAAATTTCTTATAATTTGCCAATAGTCGCAGGAACTTAATGTTACATGTGTATTGTAAATATACGGATATGACAATTTTATTCTGCTTGAACAGACACGGTCTCTCTTCCAACTATCTATAATTAATCACATTGTTTTGTCTCTCTTTAACTCGTCTTTCTTTTCTCTTACCACACCCATTTCTCTTGGGTTTTTCTTATCTCTCTCTGCCTCTCAATGTGCCTCTGTCTCTGTCCCGGTCTCTCTCTTTTTTCTTTTCCTTGCTTTTAAAGTCTAAGTAGAGGTTAATAATGTTACATAAATGACAATAAAATATATTGATATCAGACATGTCGTCTATATTTGATAATACTAATCACTCTATTTAACCTGTCCTGTTCAATCACCAGATTGAGACGCTAAGGCACCGTGATGCAGATCTGGGTTCTGCTGCATCCTCTCATTACGCGAGAGGTCTCTGCTCCATGCCAAATCTTCGATCACTGGAGCTGGACTGTGTGAAGCTGAGTGATGAGTTCTACTCGACGATGGCCTCTGAGGCATCAAGATCAAAGGTATACCAAACACGATTTCTATTGGAAACGATTTGTTGCCACTTTTCCATTCTTCAAACTCATCTTAATTGGGGGGGGGGGGGGGGGGGGTAGCTGTTTTTCACTTTAAAAAAACCCGCGTCATTGATTTTCATCAGTTACAAGCCCTCTCATATCAATTTAATAAACAGTTTGGCCATGCACACAAGGTAATCAATGATGTGAATACGATGAACTTTGGTGTCATAATGTTATAGACTAATAAAAAAAAAATCGTGTTTTAAAAGCACGTATCTTAAAGAAAGTATTTCAAAATCTATATTTAGAAAATATTTACATTTTGTCAGTAGTCACAGGAAGTAAGTCTTACATGTGTATTGTTAACAGAGGGATATAACACTTTTATTCTGCTTGAAAAGACACGGTCTCTCTCTTCTAACTATCTATAAGTGATGACCTTTTTTTTCCTCATCTTGTCTTGCTTTTCTGTTACTATACCCCATTTCCCTTCGGGCATTTTTCTCTCTATCCCTCTCTATCTCTCTCTCTGTCTCTGTTTCCGTCCCCCTCTCTCTCTATCTCTCTCTCTATCTTGTTATAAAAGTCTAAGAAGATATTAATGATGTTACATTAATGACACTAAGAATTTTTTAATCAGACATGTCGTCTATTTTTGATAATACTATTCACTATATTCAACCTGTCCTGTCACATCACCAGATTGAGGAGCTAGAGCACAGGACGGCAGATCTGGAACCTGCTGCATCCTCTCATTACGCCAGAGGTCTCTGTTTCATGCCGAATCTTCGATCACTAAATCTGTTCAGTGTGAAGCTGAGTGATAAGTTCTACTCAACGATGGCCTCTGAGGCATCAAGATCAAAGGTATACCAAACACGATTTCAATTCGAAACGATTCGTTTCCAAATAGTTTCGCATTCTTCAAACTCAACTTATTGGGTAACTGTTTTTTTGGACACTTTAAAACAAATAAACATTTATTTTCATTAGTCACGAGCACTCTCATATCAATTCAATAAATAGTTTGGCTATGCTGACAAGGAAACAAACCATGTGAATAGAATAAACTTTGGTGTAATAATGATATGGATTCATAAAAAAGCGTGTATAAAAGTGCCTATCCTATAATAAAATTATTTAGCATTTATTACAAGAAATTTCTTATAGTTTGCCAAAAGTCACATGAAGTTTATGTTACATGTGCGTTGTAAATAAACGGTCATAACACTTGAACAGACACGGTCTCTTATTTTTAACTATCTATAATTAATCACATTTGTTTGTCTTTTTTTATCTCATCTTTCTTTTCTCTTACCACTCCCATTTCCCTTGGGTTTTAATTTCTATCTATGTCTCTCATTGTGCCTCTGTCTCTCTCCCGGTCTCTCTCTCTCTCTGTCTCCCTTCTCTTCCCCTTACTTGAAAAGTCTAAGTAGAGGTTGATAATGTTACATTGATGACAATAAAACAAAAAATTCAAATCAAGCATGTCGTCCATACTTGATGATACTATTCACTCTATTCAACCTGTCCTGTCACATCACCAGATTGAAAAGCTAAAGCATCATTACGCAGATGTGGGTTCTCGTGCATCCTCTCATTACGCGAGAGGTCTCTGCTTTATGCCAAATCTTCGATCACTGGAGCTGGATAGTGTGAAGCTGAGTGATGAGTTCTACTCGACGATTGCCTCTGAGGCATCAAAATCAAAGGTATACCCAAACATGATTTCAATTCGAAATAATTCGTTTCAAAATAGTTTTGCATTCTTCAAACTCAACTTATGTGGTCACTGTTTTTTTACACTTTAAACAAAAATAATAATAATTCATTTTCATTAGTCACGGGCACTCTTATATCAATTCAATAAATAGTTTGGCTATGCTGACAAGGAAACAAATCATGTGAATAGAATGAACTTTGGTGTAATAATGATATAGATTCATAAACAAAGCGTGCATAAAATTACGTATCCTATGAATAGTATTATGCATTTTCTAAAAAGAAATTACTTATATATATATATATAAAATTATATATATATATATATAGGATATTAATTTTACGTGTGCGTTGTAAAAAGACGGATATAACACTTTTATTTTGCTTGGACAGATACGGCCTCTCTTGCTTAACTATCTATGATTATTCACATTTGTATGTATTTCTTCATCTAGTTTTTCTTTTTTCTTACCACATCCATTTCCTTTCAGGTTTTTTTCTATCTCTCATTATGTCTCTGTGTCTGTCTCTCTCTCTCTCTCTCTGTCCCCCCTCCTCTTTCCCTTGCTTTGAAAGTCTAAGTAGAGGTTAATGATGATAAATTAATGAAAATGTTACGATTATTTGTGGATGCAGGACTTGGCAAACAGAACCCTAGTGTATTCAGATGTATATAACATAAAGAACCATGCACATACCTTCAACAGGTTTCTCCCTTTGTAAATTTCAATAGGCTTCTCGCGATATTAAAGCTTGACAGTCCTTTAAGTCTTGTTCAGACGATGGCAATTTTGGTCGGGTTAAGGTCGTGTTACGAGCTAGTCGGCGTAAAATAATATGGTGAGGTCGGCGTAAAGGTCGGAGTAGTGATCGTCTGAACGATGGTCGTGTTAGCTACGCATATTGCTCCGATTGTCTCATTTTCGCTCGCTGCAACATTGCCAGCACAAACTACTGACCTCCAGCTCCTGGACGGATCATCGTCCATTCCCATTCACTATACGTTACGTACTAAAAGGCTGTATTGTCTGACTGTTCATGAATATTCATGTTTTTGCTTACCTCGGCAAAATGTTTGCTTTTACTTAATGGAAAAATTACGGTTGGGGGTTGGATGAAATGGACATAAAGAACCAAGCAGAAGTGATATATGATAATTCATGCTGCTTATCCTTCGTGTGCTTGACCTATAATCTTAAAATCGCTTGGCAAACTGAGTCCAAAGTTCGACTTGTTTCACATGTGTATTATAGGCAATGACGAGTTTGCAACCTATTTTGATCAAATTACGGTGGGTGAACTTTCAAAAGTCAATGGGACATGAGGGTTCCAATGAAAGAGCTAGTGATAACGTACGTCGGGTGGATGTGCTTTTCATTAAAAAAAAGAAAGAGTTGTTAACGATTTTATTTGTAAATTCCATAGGCTAACATGTTAGGCTGCTGACTCTGACGATAGGGGGCTTTGTGAAATGAGACTAAACGGAGCTATATGCCTACCTTTACGCCGACCGATTTACTCCTGGCTTTTTCCGGGGTAACGCATTAACACGACCAGAGGGTAGCGTAAGTTTAAACGTGCTGATGCTCTCACTTGGCACTTGGAGTATATGTGACAAGTTCACGAGGGTTGTTTGTTTACAATCGAAACTGAAAATTAGATTTCGCACGGTTTAGATGCGGAAGGTGAGTTGAGGTCGACTAGTGCGGGCGCAACCACTTCCGGAAATTACGCTGAGTAAGACTGGGTCGATGGAAGGTTGTGTCAACTAAATCAAGTTGGTCCGAGTCAGAGGGTGTAGAAAACTAATGGTGTGAGTCAAATATTCTTGAGATATTTACTGCTTCAGGGATTAACTTACGCCGACTAGGAAGCCCCCGTCTGAACAATGTACTTGCTTGAACTCTTATGAACTTAGGATGCTGCACCCTGTCACACTCTCTCTCTTTCTTTCTTTCTCCCCCTCCTTCTTCCTGTTCTGTCACCTTTTCTACTTCACCTTCTTCCTTGTCTATCCTATTCTCTTCCCTTTTCCTTCTTTGTCCTTGCACTAAATTTGGTTTTGTTCCCTTTTTCATTCTTAAAAATTCTTGAATGTTCGATGAACACGAAAATGTGCATGTTTGTAGAAATTCACGTAAGGAACAATATGGTATTATAAGTTTGTCCTAATATGCAAACTGTTGTCGACATAACCTTATTAATTATGCAAAATGCAAATTTTATGCATTTTACAGAAAACTCTACTTATTTGTCTCTAGACCAGTGAAGAATTTTGAAAATGTGTGGAATAAAATGTTTCCTTCATTTCAAATTCATGAAGTTTCATTATTTTTTCTGAAATTTGAAAATGCATAGGTTAATTTGCATAAATAATGAACACGCAAATTATCTTTTTTGTTTCGTTGTTGTTGAAAGTATGTTTAGCACTGTAAGCAAAGCCAAAAACAACAATTTTACCCACTTTCTCACTGTAGAGTAAGATTTCTCCACTAACCTTCTGCATACCACTGCTCATATACAAAAAAAGTTCGAAATTCATCATTTTATTTTCTTATGTATTATATATTGTTTTTTTATTTCTTATTATATCCATTTTTTTTATTTGTAATGTATTCTTTTGTTCTCAAGTTACTTTGAGAAACATTATCAAAGCAATTTGATAACAATTCATATCTCCCACTTATGAAGAAATACATCTAAACCTGTATTCACATTTCTGCTTATACATGAATATATGCAATTATAACACTTTTTGATGACATGCGCATACTAATTGTTATGTAACGATGTAACACCTTATATAATATATATATATATATAGTATATCCGATTTCGACTAAAATGGTATCAAAATATGTGTAAGACTTGAGGACAAAAAAAAAAAATCATGAAACGACAATTTAAAATTCCAAGCGGCTGCGGCGCAATCTTCGAAAATGTGGAGGGGCAAGCCCCCCCCCCCCCAAGTACAGTAAGGGTTAAGATGTAATTAAGAATGAGTATTTTTCTACAATACTTTGATAATGATGTAATGTATATGTTCACTAAAAAGTATGTTCATCATTAAATAGTTGCAACTTTATTATTGTACCGATTTTTGGTTAAGCACTGCCTTGTATTTTTTATGTGTTATTATGTATGTAGGCCTAATATGAAAAAGTGTACAATAAAATTGAACCATTGAACCATAGAAAATATTTAAATTAGACATGTCGTCTATACGTGATCATACAATTCAATCTATTCAACCTGTCCTGTCACATCGTTAGATTGAAAAGCTATCGCACGAGAGAGTAGATCTGGGTTCTTCTGCATCCTCTCATTACGCGAGAGGTCTCTGCTCTATGCCAAATCTTCGATCATTGTATCTGGACAATGTGAAGCTGAGTGATGAGTTCTACTCAACGATGGCCACTGATGCATCAAGATCAAAGGTATACCAAACACGATTACAATTGAACGGATTTGTTTCTATATAATTTTTTCGTTCTTCAAATTCAACGTATGGGGTAACTGCATTTTTCATACTTTTTAAAAAGAATTCATATATAAACATTAGTCACGAGCACTCTCATATCGATATAATAAATTGTTTGGCCATGCTGACAAGGATATAAATCCTGTGAATAGAATGAACTTTGGTGTCATAATGATATAGATTCATAAAAAAAAGCCTTTATAAAATTAATTATCCTATGAATATAATATTTCTCATTTTTCGAATGAAATAACTCATAGGTTGCCGATAGTGGCAGGAAATTAATTTAACTATCTTTAATTAATCAAATTTGTTTGCCGTTCCTAATCTCGTCTTTTTTTTTCTCTTTTCACACCCATTTCCCTTCGGGTTTATTCTCTATATCTCTCTCCGTCTCTCATTATGGCTCTGGGTCTGTCCCAGTCTCTCTAGTTCTCCCTTCTCTTTACCTTACTTTAAGACCCTAAGTAGAGGTTAATGATCTTACATTAATCACAATAGAAAATATTTAATTTGACATGTCGTCTTTACTTTATATTACTATTCACTCTATTCAACCTTTCCCGTCACATCACCAGATTGAGGAGCTAAACCACAGAACGGCAGATGTGGATTCCGCTGCTTCCTCTCATTACGCGAAAGGGCTCTGCTCTATGTCAAATCTTCGATCACTGCATCTGGACGATGTGAAGCTGAGTGATGACTTCTACTCGACGATCTCCTCTGAGGCATCAATATCAAAGGTATACCAAACACGATTTCAATTGGAAAGCGATTTGCTGCCAGTTTTGCATTCTTGAAACTGAACTTTTGGGATAACTGTTTTTTCACACTTTTTTAAAAGACCTCATGTATTTGTATTAGTTAGGAGCACTTCTTATATCAATAAATTAAAAAAAAATTGGCCATGCTAACAAGGTAATAAATCCCGAGAATAAAATGAAATTAGGTGTCATAATGATATAGATTCATATAAAAGCGTTTTTTAAAAGCACATATCATGAGACATATCATATAAATAGTAGTTCGCGTTCTATAATGAGAAATTATTTACATTTTGTCAGCAGTCGCAGGAAATTTATTTTACATGTGCATTGTAAATAGACTGAAAAACACTTTTCATCGGCTTAAACAGACACGGTCTCTCTTTTATAACAATCTATAATTAATTACATTTGTTTGTCTTTCTTCATCTCGTCTTTCTTTGCTCTTACCAAGCCCATTTCTCACGGTTTTTTTCTTTATATCTCTATGTCTCTCATGATGTTTCTGGCCATGTCCCGATCTATCTCTCTCACTTCTATCTCTTTCCTTTGCTTTAATAATGTAAGTAGAGGTTAATGATATTATATTAATATCCATAGACAATATTTAAATTAGACACTTCGTCTTTACTTCATAAAACTATTCACTCTATTCAACCTGTCCATTCACATCACCAGATTGAGAAGCTAAAGCACAAGACGGCAGATCTGGGTTCTCATGCATCCTCTCATTACGCGAGAGGTCTCTGCTCTATGCCAAATCTTCGATCACTTGGTCTGAACATTGTGAAGTTGAGTGATGAGTTCTACTCAACGATGGCCACTGAGGCATCAAGATCAAAGGTATACCCAAACAGTATTTCAACTGGCATATATATTTACCTTGTCATTAGAAACTGGCAAGGTTCCAGATGAAATAAAGAAACTTTGAAATCTATAGATCAGGGGAAAGTAACTCTGGGTTCATCGATTTAAAAAAAAAGCATTGACACAATTAATCATAATATTTTACTAGGTAAACTATCTAGTTATGGCATTCGACGATTACCTCTTGAATGGTTTGAGGACTATCTCAGTAACCGATTTCAGTTTGTTCAGTGTGGTCAAACGTTATCTGAAAGAAAGAAGATAAGATGTGGTGTTCCAAAAAAAAAGGATCAGTATTAGGGCCAACTCTGTTTTGGATCTATATAAATGATTTGCCAACAGTTACTGATTACTTAATTTTCGGCTGTTTGCCGATGATTCCAACCTATTTCATACTTTTCCTGATGACCAGGGTGAAATTGATGTAAATGAAGTGAATAACAACATACAAAAGATACATAAATAGTGCATTGCTAACAAACTTTCAATTAAATCAATGAAAACTAATTTCATTTTAATAATTAGTAGGAGGAACAAAAAAGGTATGAATTGTAAACTGAAAATTGCTGGCGAGGAAATTAAAGAGGTTGATGTTGCCACTTTTGTTGGGATTCACATTGATAGACATTTGTCTCGGAATAGTCATATTTGTTTCGTAAATCAGTGTATTAGAAAGAAAGTTGGGGTGCTATTTAGATCGCGACATTTTGTTCCTAGCCGTACTCTGATATTATTATATAAAGCATTTATAAAACCACACATTTCATACTGAATAGAAGTGGGGAAGGACTTATAAGACTAGCCTGAGAAGTATATTGTATTCGCAGAAAATGGCAGTTAGTGCTATAACATAATAGTGAATGGAGAACTCCTACAGCTCCATTATTTAAAAGATTGCGAATCCTAAATGTGTATAATTTACATGATTTATCAATTTATACTTTCATGTTTGATCTATTCAATGATACTTTGCCTCATATTTTGACAGAGTACTGTGACATTATAGAGCATAGATATTCCACAAGACAAAACTAAGGTGGACAATTACGTCTTCCAAAATTTAGAACGACACAAGGTCAATTTTCATTGTCTTTTGTGGGCAGTGAATTTTGAAATAGATTACCCATTAGCGCTTAGAGACTTCGGTGGTAAGCGCTTTATAAGCAACGTTGTTATTGTTTATTATTATTAATGTCAGATCAATAAGGTCTAGAAATAGGTTTCGGAATTCTGTAAAAAGTCATTTGTTGAACAAGTTATGAATGATATCAAGTCATATAATCTGCATAGTTATGTACACAAATTATATTCTACATTGTATTCTTAATTTTTAAAGTATCGATTGTAATTGTAAATTCATTATTTTTTGTTGTGTTACGTTTTCTAAGCTGATTGCACCAAAATACTTTGTTTAGCTGTTTAAGGGGTTAGGCTCGACTAGCTATTATCTGGCCCCTTTTACCAACCAATAGTTTTTCTTCTTGTATGAAATGTATTGCTGTAATGCTGTTGGTAAATAAATCAAATCAAATCAAATTCGAAACGATTTGTTTCGAAAGAGTTTTGCATTCTTCAAATTTAACATGTGGGGCCACTGTATTTTCACACTTGATAAAAATAAATCATTTATAAACATAAGTCAAGAGTACTCTCATGTCAACAGTCTGGCCGTGCTGATATGGAAACAAATCATGTTATAGAATGAACGTTGGTGTCATAATGATATAGATTCATAAAAAAGCCTGCATAAGTTGACTTATGCTATGAATAGTATTTTTTCAAAAGAAATTACGTATAGTTAACCAATAGTGGCCGGAAATTAATTTTACATGTGCATTGTAAATAGACGGGTATAACACTTTATCCTGCTTGAACAGACACGGTATCTCTTGTGTCTACCTATCGATAATTATTCACCTTTGTTTGTATTTCTTCATCTCGTCTTTATTTTCTCTTACCACGCCCATTTCCCTCGGGTATTTTCTCATTATGTATCTGTCCCTTTCCCTGTCTCTCTCCCTCTCTCTCTCTGTCTCCCTTCACTTTTCCGTGCTTCAAAAGTCTAAGTAAAGGTTGATGATGTTACATTGATGACAAAAGAAAGTATTTAAGGTGGACATATCGCCTATACTTGATAATACTATTCACTCTATTCAACCTGTCCTGTCACATCACTAGATTGAGGAGCTATCGCACAAGACGGCGGATCTGGGTCCGGCTGCATCCTCTCATTATGCGAGAGGTCTCTGCTTCATGCCAAATCTTCGATCACTAAATCTCAACCATGTGAAGCTGAGTGATGAGTTCTACTCAACGATGGCCACTGATGCATTAAGATCAAAGGTATACCAAACACGATTTCTATTGGGAACGATTTGTTACCAGTTTTGCACTCTTCATACTCAACTTATGGGGTAACTGTTTTTTTTTAAATATTTGTTAAAGACATCATTTTTTTGTATAAGTTACGAGCACGCTCATATTGGTATTACAAATAGTTTGGCCATGCTGACAAGTACATAAATCAGTTGAATACAATGAAATTCGGTGTCAAAATGATATTGAGTCATATAAAAGCGTGTTTTTTTTTAAAAACGTATCCAATAAATAGTAGTTAACGTTCTATATTTAGATATTATTTACATTTTGTCAATAGTTCCAGAAAATTACCTTAAATATGCATTGTAATAAGACGGACATAAATAACAATTAAATTCTGCTTGAACAGACACGGTCTCTCTTTTCTAACTATCTATAGTTAATCACATTTGTATGTATTTCTTTATCTCGACTTTCTTTTCTCTTACCACACCCATTTCCCTTAGATGTTTTTCTCTCTATCTCTCTCTCTGTGCCTCTCATTATATCCCTGTCCCTGTCCCACTCTCTCTCTCTCTCCCTTCTTTTTCTCTTGGTTTAAAAGTGTAATCAGAGGTTGATAATGTTACATTAATGACAGTAAGAATATTATACTTTGACATGTCTTGTATACTTGATAAAACTATTCATTCTATTCAATCTGTTCTGTCACATCACCAGATTGAGAAGCTAAAGCATCATTCCGCAGATGTGGGTTCTGCTGCATCCTCTTATTACGCGAGAGGTCTCTGCTTCATGCCAAATCTTCGATCACTGAATCTGAGCAGTGTGAGGCTGAGTGATGAGTTCTTCTCAACGATGGCCACTGAGGCACCAAAATCAAAGGTTTTACCCGAACACGATTTCAATTGGAAACGATTTATAAACATAAGTCACGAGTACTCTCATACCAATATAATAAACAGTTTGGTCATGCTGACAAGGAATTAAATCTTGTGAATAGAATGAACTTGGGTGTCATACTGATATAGATGCATAAAACAGCGTGTGTAAAAGTACTTATCCTATAAATAGTAGTTCGAGTTCTATATTTAGAAATTATTACATTTTGTCAGTGGCTGCAGGAATTTAATTTACATGTGCATTGTAAAAAGAGGGACATATAGCCCTTTAATTCTGCTAGAACAGACCATGGTCTACCTTCTAACTATCTATAACTCATCACTTTTTTTTTAATCCATCTCGTCTTTCTTCGCTATTACCACACCTATTTCACATGTTTTTTCCTCTCTGTCTCTCATTATGTCTCTTCCTCTGTCCCGGACTCTCTCTCTCGCTCTCTCTCTCCCTTCTCACTCCTTTCCTTCAAAAGTATAAGTAGAGGTTAATAAACTTACATTAATGACAATAGAAAATATGTAAATTAGACAAGTCGTCTATACTAGTCAAAACTATTAACTCTATTCATTCTGTCCTGTCACATCACCAGATTGAGGAGCTAACGCACGATACGGCAAAACTGGGTTCTGCTGCATCCTCTCATTTTGCGAGAGGGCTCTGCTCTATGCCAAATCTTCAATCACTGTATCTGGACGATGTGAAGCTGAGTGATGAGTTCTACTCGACGATCTCCACTGAGGCATCAAGATCAAAGGTATACCAAACACGATTTAAATTGGAAAGCGATTTGCTGTCAGTTTTGTATTCTTCATACTCAACTTTTGACTATATATAATTGAGGAAATTTGTTTCTTATTTTCATCTCGTCTTTCATTTCTCTTACAACTTGCATTTCCTTTTGGGCCTATTTCTCTCTATCTCCCTCTGTCTCTGACAATATCTCTGCCTCTGTCACGGTCTCTCTCTCTCCCTCTTCGCTTCTCTTTCCCTTGCTGTAAAGGTCTAAGTAGAGGTTTAATAATTATCTTACATTAATGACAATAGAAAATATTTGAATTAAACATGTCGTTTATACCTGATAATACTATTCACTCTATTCAACCTGTCCTGTCACATTACCAGATTGAGAAGCTAAAGCACAAGACGGCGGATCTGGGTCCGGCTGCATCCTCTCATTATGCGAAAGGGCTCTGCTTCATGCAAAACCTTCGATCACTGTTTCTGGACGATGTGAAGCTGAGTGATGAGTTCTACTCGACGATCTCCACTGAGGCATCAAGATCAAAGGTATACCAAACACGATTTCAATTGGAAAGCGATTTGCTGTCAGTTTTGCATTCTTCATACTCAACTTTTGAGATGACTGTTTTTTCACAATTTTTTAAAAGACATCATGTATTTTTATTAGTTAGGAGCACTTCTTATATCAATATTAAAAATAGTTTGACCGTGCTAACAAGGTAATAAATCTCGTGAATAAAATGAAATTAGGTACAGTGTAAAGCTGAATGATAAGTTTTATTCCACGATGGCGTCTGAGGCATCAAACTCAAAGGTTTATCCGAACACGATTTAAATTGGGAACGATTTGTTTCGCAATAATTTCGAATTTTTCAAATTTAACAAATAGGGTAACTGTTTTTTTACAATTTTCTAAAAATAAATCATATATTAGTCACGAGCACTCTCATATCAATATTACAAATAGTTTGGCTATGCTGACAAGGAAATAAATACCAGTGAATAGAATGAACTTTGGTGTCGTAATGATATAGATTCATATCAAAACGTGTTTTAAAAGCACTTATCCTATAAATAGTATTAAGCATTCTAAATTAAGAACATATTAAAATTTCATCAATAGTCGCGGAAAATTTATTTTTACATGTGCATGGTAAAAAGACGGATATAGCAATTTTATTCTGCTTGAACAGACACGGTCTCACTTTCTAACTATCTATAATTGAGGAAATTTGTTTGTCATTTTCATCTCGTCTTTCATTTCTCTTACAACTTGCATTTCCTTTTGGGCCTATTTCTCCCTATCTCCCTCTGTCTCTGACAATATCTCTGCCTCTGTCACGGTCTCTCTCTCGCCCTCTTCCCTTTCTCTTTCCCTTGCTGTAAAGGTCTAAAGTAGAGGTTTAATAATTATGTAACATTAATGACAATAGAAAATATTTGAATTAAACATGTCGTTTATACCTGATAATACTATTCACTCCATTCAACCTGTCCTGTCACATTACCAGATTGAGAAGCTAAAGCACAAGACGGCGGATCTGGGTCCTGCTGCATCCTCTTATTACGCGAAAGGGCTCTGCTCCATGCAAAACCTTCGATCACTGAATCTGGACAGTTCAGAGCTGAGTGATGAGTTCTACTCAACGATGGCCACTAATGCATCAAGATCAAAGGTATACCAAACAAGATTTCAATTCAACGGATTTTTGTCTATATAATGTTGCATTGTTCAAATTGAACATATGGGGTAACTGTATTTTTAGACTTTAAAAAAAAATCATTTAAAACATTAGTCACGAGCACTCTCATATCAACATAATTAATAGTTCGGACCCGCTAACAAGGAAACAAATCATGTGAGTAGAACGAACTTTGGTTTCATAAACAGGGCCCGCGCTACAGCGGGGCTCTTCGGGCTCGAGCCCCCCCACTATTTTGAAAAAGTATGTTAAAGAAAAATAAAAATAAACCAACCAAGGTCCCGGCAAAAATCTCAATTTTTTTTCCTGCTAAATGCGAGACCACATTTACCTAGAAGCGAGATTTAGCGAACGTGATTCAGCAAAAAAGCGCGAAAAATTGCAAATGCGAGAAGTAAAAACACAGAGACATTGTCAAGCATGTGGGCAAAGCTTCCGAATTCAGCAGTTTGTGAATTGAAAAAATCAGTTCCGTAAAAGCGATCGTAAAAGCCTAATTTGTTCAAAAAATTACACACTTTTATCGCCGGAATCGGGCAAAAACACTCCATTCAGTATTACAGGTGCACAGAAGATGAACTGTCAGTCAAAATTTTGAACAACATTAGTCTCATGCACATCGTTTATTAGTGTCACAGATGGTTCGTTACTGTTACACTTCATGGACAGATTTGAAAGATGTGTAAGTCATTGAAATTATAATCAGTATATGATGCGAAAATGATTCATCTCCAGCTTCCGCAAACCAACCTGGGAAATTTTGTTGGGTCCTGAGGGACGCAATTACTCACCGCTTTTGCAAAATTTGTGCGTGATATTTGGTTTTGGTGAGTCCGGGACATGTCTTTTTTTGTCTGTAACCTAGCCATCCTACGCTGCATATTAATATTTGAATATATTATTATATTTGCCATGGTACGGTGTGGTGGAGATCAAAATTAAATCGGCCAAATTCTGGACTAAACCAGTATGTCGCAATGATTATGGACAAATTACGACCTGGGTAGTCATTCGTTTACGGTAAGCCTCACGATTTTGTCGCAATGTAATTTATTTTCAGTAAACTTAGCTTTGCACTTGTAATTTTTGTATGAAATCTCATATTTGATAAAATATCGCATCAGAATCTGTGTGCGTGCGTATCATGAATATTGATGACTATCACATGACGTATAGGTTCATTTCGATCCAATCAAATGCAGCGGTAGGATGGCTAGGTTACGGGAAAAAAAGATTAGCGCGACCCTTGCTTATATATATTGCTCTACAAAACAAATATTTTTCTTTTTAATGTTACATTGATGACAATGAGAATATTTAAATTAGACATGTCGTCTATACTTGATAATACTATTCACCTTATTCATCCTGTCCTGTCACACCACCAGATTGAGGACCTAACGCACCTTGGCTCGGATCTGGGTTCTGCTGCATCCTCTCATTACGCGAGAGGTCTCTGCTTTATGCCAAATCTTCGATCACTGGAGCTGAACAGTGTGAAGCTGAGTGATGAGTTCTACTCAACGATGGGCTCGGAGTCATCAAAATCAAAGGTATACCGAACACGATTTCTATCGGAAACAATTGTTTACAAATACTTTTGCACTCTTCAAACTCAACTTTTGGGGTAACTGTTTTTGTACACTTTTTTTTAAAAGAAATCATTTATTCTTATCAGTTACGAGCACTCTGATATCAATATTATAGGAAGAATTACTCATTTGACTAGAATCAGTGTCATAATGATTAAGATGCATCTAAACGCATGTTTTTAACATATCTTGTAGATAGGCCTTGAATTCTGCGTTTTTTGTGTGGATTATTTATTGTCCCAAAAAGATATTACATGCACCATATAGATAGAAAGACATAAATTACCCAAAAGAGAGAAAGAAAAAAAAAAGGACATAAAAGAAAAACAGTTCCCAACAAGTATAAGCAAGCCAGCTATGTCTTTTGTGTGAGATGTGTGATGCCAGCCCCCTCCCTCCCGCGACAAAAATGCCCCTCCCCCATCAGAAAAAATGGCCCTCCTGATCTAAAACTGTGTTTTTTTCAACGAGTGTGAAATTAAGTAATTACATTATTAATGCATTCATTTGCTATGGTATACATCATTTTTCTCACATATATTTTAGTTACGCCACACAACACACACTAAACCCTCGTTAGTAAAAATCGTTCCGTCTCTGTGTAATTTGATGCGCTTGGACAGACTTCCGTCATTTAATTGTAAAATTTTAAGTACCAGTGTAAGAAATCGATCCTACAGCTTCTGAGGAATATGAGAGTACTTTTTGATCTTGTCCTCCCATCTCTTTCTTTAAGTCTCATTTCTCTCTTTCTTACTTATGCTTCTCCATGCTCTCTCTCTCTCTCTCTCTCATTCCATATCAAGCTCGCCGTCTTTTGCTTTCTCAGCCCCTGTCAATGTTTTTCTCGTAGACTATTTTCTTGTATTTATCACTCATTGATCTTTTTTGGCAATTTCTTATATCGCTTTCTCATCAGATAGAGATATTAGAACGTTTTTCCTTTTCTAAAAAGTATTAAGAAGAAAGAACCATTACGTGCTCATTTAAGAAAAATGATGCCCCCTTCTTACTAAATGTAAACATGGAATTAAAAATATATATGAATCTTAAAAATCACTTGGATTTTTTTTAAAAACACACATGTATTGCATAACTTGTGATATTATTATCATTATTGACTATAGACAGATGGCTTTTCTTTACTATTGGTTAATGTAAAAATGTTACATTCTAATAGGCCTACTTTAAATAACCATACATGATACCTCGGTCTTTTTTCTTCAATATATAGATAAGGTAATTAATCTATGAAAATTAATTAACAAAAATAATCAATTGTAAAATACTTCTAACGTATTTCTCAACTAATAGTTTGTAACTGTAGAGAAATAATTTCTGTTTGGATTATAATGTTTTTCTTATTTACAACGATGTGATAACTTAATGATTTTAACTGATTTTAACCGTAGTTCACATGACCAAGTTATCAGGTAGCAACTATTGCTGTTCTCACAACTGACAGTTCTCACAATTTCCTTTTAAAATATACCTGATATCAACAATATGGCACACACAATGTCAACTCGCGTGCCTGTCCAGTGACGGATGTATATCTGAAGCAATATGTGTTCATGCGAATGTCCTTTTGTGTCTAGTGAATTTAGAAGAATTAATAAAATGCTTACTAATCCACGTTGAAGGAATAAGATGAAATACGCCTACTGAAAACAAAGGGGGAAATTATAACATATTCTCTTGAAGATATCATTTTGATGTAATGTCAGCCAACCGATACAATGCCTTAAGTACCTCTATTGAGATACATCATGCCATGCATATTGAAATGTTTTTTTGTTTATTATAATATATTGATTCATTTGAACTATAGCAGAAATAGCCGAAATAACCAGACTTAGTGAATGATAAAGTGACTGAGATGAAGATTCAGTTGATATTAGCTGTGATGTAAAAGGGTGTTTATGTTAGTAAAAACAATAATTGGATCGCATCGTGGATTTCACTTTGGTGTGAACTGGTAAATTGTCTTTGCACAGATCCAGACGCTCAGTATGGGGCATGTTTCCATAACTCCATGTCGACTACAATCCATTCTCTCGCTATCACGCCTCCAGTCACTCAGCTTGAGGGATATCAGTCGAGTTGACATGGACGATAGAGAGATACTGGTATGTATCTTTACTACTTAAAAATGCTCTATTTCTTCCAAGCTTAAAATGAAGGGGTTCAGAAAATCTAGACAGACAAAATATGAATGATAAAGGAATTACCGAAAGGATAATGTATTTTATCTTAAAATTAAGTTAAAACGATATACTACGGGCTGTTTAGTAAATACATGGATGGTTTTATATATCAAACATCTATACATGCACGGTTATAATTGTTTTCAATTTGGGATGCAGTTTTACCATGTACATTTTCTTAAAGCTCGTTAAATATCGATTGATGAATGATTGACGTTAACTATTTCCTATAGAGATTTTTGTTGCTTATTTTTTTTATCATCAAATGTGTAACTTTCAGTAGTGTGAAATCGTTTGAATGATTTTTTTTTATAGGCTGGCTGAACGAATATCACAATAAAAAAGATGATAATGAGTACTACAATCCCATCATCTTCCATTGAAAAAGGAGGATTGAACCTCGTTAGTAAGTTGGCTTTGGTCATGTTGGTGGGAACAGACGAAATAAAGAAATATTTTAACGAAGGTTTTAAAAAAAAATGGAGAAAGAATAAAAAAGTTAAGATATTTTTAACTTCGATAATGCTAATAATGTGAGAAAACTTGTATTGACAATGCGATCATTAAGATACAGGGGATAATCCTCTAATTTAGTGTTTTGTATCCAAAATATCGCAAACACCTTTTCAAGAGTCTTATGATAGACAAACCATTTTTTAAAGGGAGGGCAATACACGTTTAGACCTCATGGAACATATTTTACTGGGTTACTAAAATGGAAAACAGAGAGGTATTTTTAATATTTTCGAAAAAGAAATCAGTTTTAGTTCATCCGGAACGGCATCGAATATGACTGTAATGTCAAAGGAAGATTCTCTATATCCTTTATAATCTCGGCATCCAAAAGTTAAATTTGTTTGTATTCTTTGTCCCATTTTCCACAAAACTACGCGTTTGTTTATTTCTTCTAACTTTAAACTGATGAAAACCCTTTAAGTCTTATTATTGTATATTTGTGGAATATTTACCAAACATGATATGAACAGTAAAAGTACTATATCAAAACAATAATGAGTCATGTTATCCAATATAATTTCTTACATTAGCGTTGGTTTCCATTAAAATCATATGTAATGAGCCTTTATGCCTTGCTGTTTCCTGTAGACTCGTCAAATAACCTCAGTAGATGAGCTATCTGTGGATGGTGAGCATGTGACCAGTCTGTGGAATCTTGGACTTCATACATCATGTCCCCGAGTGAAAACTCTCAAACTTGACTGGTCAAGATGGGAAGATGTCTCATCAGATATCGTTACTATGGCCTGCTGTCCATTCCATCATCTAACTCACCTTCACATCCAGGGAAATTCATTTCATCTAACTTCTACTACACTGAATGATCACGTGTCATTCTGCAAGGGAGTTGAAACATCATGTCCTCGACTCACCAAGCTGTACATTTCCTATATTGACCTGTACACCAAGGCAGCTGAAATCATCAAACTCATGAAGATGCATCCGCACCTAACAAGCATAGAGTGAGTCTCATTTGATTTACCAGGGTAATGATTGCCACTTTATAGTCAAAATCATAGAAATTTACATGTACAACACATTGTGGAACGACACATTAGGGTTACCTTTTACTGCAATTTTTTTTCTCTCTTTATTTTCTTTCCCCCTCTCTCTCTCACACTCTCTTTCTCTCTCTCTCTCTCTATCTCAGTTCCTCTCTAATTTACTCTCTCTTTACTAGTATTATATATTTGTACTTAATGCAGGTACTACTCTTAACAACATACTTTAAGTATGAGAAAATCTAAGTAGTGGAAAGCAGTTAAATATCAAATAAGTTTATTGTCTTATTGGAAAATATGCATTTAAATACTAAATTCAAAGATTTTGGCTCTTAAAATTATGTTTTTAAGGTCAGTGAACACAATGACAGTATTTTCAGAGACAACAATAAAGGGATAAAAATTCATATTTTCATCTCAATATCGTTGTAAATAACCAAAATTGAACAAATCAAGTGTTCAATGCAATGTTTTCAAAGTCAATGATAAAGGTGAACAAGTTTTTGAATCAATATTAGGAATAATGTTTGCAAAATATGCATAGAAGCTTCCAGCAGAGAGATATCCAAATTCATATTTTTATCATAATTTGCCATGTAATATCCCAGTTAAATCAGTTCAAATAATGTAATGGATACTGGCATTGTCCCACTGAACAGGATGAACACAATTCAAGATGGGCTAAAATAGTACTTTATGCATAATTTGCTAATTAAGTTTTCATTGTTAGGTATTAAAATCCAAAATTATGATTTGAATTTATATTTTCATATAATCATGATGGCTACATATTTGCAATGTAAATTAGAAAATTATTCCACCATGTATGGTGACCAAAACTACATAGCTTTCAATATTCATATATTGTTGTAAGAGTGGACTTGGATGCAGTTTAAGATGAAAATATAATTTTTTATTTTTTATTGGTGGAAGCTAGATGACATATCATGTGAAATTCAAAGGTTTTAGTAATAAAGAATTTCTCGGTCACTTTCGTAAGTTGGCCACACAAATTAATTTCTTGTTCATTCAATTTCTCTGATTCTGTCACCGCAGCTGTTATTTTTCGTTCAAATTCGTTTTTTTAGCATTTAAAACGATCATTCAAAAACATTTAATTTTCATTCGAATTAAAACGTGTTTCTTTTTCGTAAAATTTTCATTCAATTTAAAGCGAAATGATTCGCAATTACGTAATAGCATCTTCCGTGAATTCAAATTCGTTTATTTGCATACAGTTTCACACGTTTTGCAGACAAATTAAACATGTAAATCTTACCCAGTATATGATCATATATAGAACCCCGCAAGCTTAGTTCCATGCTTAATCCATTTCAAATTGTATGGGTTGGTAAGCAATAGACATGCTATTTGTCCTCACTATGGGTGTATATGTATACCCACTATTTAGCAACTGAGCGATCATGTGTTAAGTAGATAAACCCTAGCCTCATCATCATAGAATTAGCATGGAAATAAGCAAGAGTGTCTTTTTATGAATATGCAATGATATAAGTGCATGCAAAGTGTGTGTTTACAGACTACGGTTGTATTTATTGGAGTGGCGTACCATAATGGTGGTGGTGGTGGGGGGGGGGTATCAATACTCTATACCTTGATTTATTTTTAATGTTTTGCTTTGTTTTTTATACTGTTCATTCGATGTTCGTAATCTCTTTGAAGCCATTTATATTTGTGTAAATTATATTCAGTCTGTATTGAACATGTTAAGAACAATCTATGAGTGTCAGTTCAATCACAATCATAATCACATCAAAATCTGAATCAACATCACGCTGAATCACAATCACGATCGTGATCACAGTCACAATTTACCATCTCAGTCACAATCGTAATCACCATCTCAATTACAATCACGATCTTCTACACAATCATTAATGAGTTTGATACATTGTTTTCTCACTGCGCGCACATCTCAATAGCTCGTGTCATGCGGACATAAACCAAAGAATACACGTATAGAATCTGAAATCTTGTTTTGGTTATATATATTTTAATTATCATAATTACATCATGCATGACATTATCATGTTCATCTACGTAATATCACTTCCAAAAGATGATCGAGTACGATAAAATCCGTGATGAGAACATCAGTAAGATAAAGTCCAATCTTGAGTTGTTTAACCCTCTACATGTTGACGGGCAAGACATCTAGGCATGTTATATAACTCATTTGTTTAATTTAGATGAGAAATATGTGCATATACGATGTATACCATAGGTTTGTAAAGATAGGCGAATATGAATGAAAACTTTGTTATTTAGAATGACCCAAAGTGAAATTGAATGGTACGGACATGCGGTTTGCCATGGTTGACGAAAATGAATGCAAACTGCGCATTTGTAAGCGGTTGTTAAATTTAATGAAACAAGTGCTACATCCATTGACCGAATAAATAAATCAAATGAAAAAAATTCTTATGTTGAACGAAATTTGTACACGCCGGCAGCTTTATTTCTCAAATTAGAATGAACTTTGTATCAAAACGAATGAAAAGCTTACGAAAGTGACCGAGAAATCCTATATTAAAATGTATCAATCATTTTCAATGGCATGGGCAATATCAATCATATCACTTGAACTGATTCAACTGGGATCTTAGATCATGGCAAGTTATGAAAAAAATATTAATTTCATTATTTGAATTGAATTGAACTTTATTTCATTCATCATAAAAACATCATAACAAACATATACAATACAAAACATAGCGTACAAGAGAAACATTTACAATACAATACAACAACAACAATATTTATGAATGTAGAGACAGCTAGGAAAGCCAAAGGCTTTATTGGTGCTGCCACCGAAACAGTAATAAAGTATAATACAGTATTATATTGTTGTTTGAGAGGGTGATTAAACAAAAAAAAAGCCTACTAGAGGGGGGGGGGGGGAACATAAACCAAAAACCAAAAACCAGACCGTGTACATAATCAATCTTTATTTATTTTGTTGGATTAAAAATGATTTATATCTCCTTTTAAAAACGTTAATTGATGGACTAGATTTTATATCTTGACGTAAATTATTCCACAATTGTGGCCCTTTGAATAAATTTGATTTCTTAGTTATATTTAGTCTGATTTTATTTAAATGAAAATTAGATGAACTTCGAGTATTATATGAATGTAATGCATTATCTTTGTGATGAACGCTCATTTGCATATTTATGTGAGAAAATATGTTCAGTCTGTTAACTAACATCTAGACCATTGGATGGAGCACTTGATCTGTTCAAATCGGTTATATACAAAGATATTAAGATAAAAATATGAATATTAATTTCTCCATAAATTTAGACGTATAATTTATGCTTATATGGTGTTGATAAAACCTAGATACCTGATTATGAATATGTTTGATCTCATAAGCATGATAAGAGGAAAACTATTGTTAATTTAACACATTTGAATTTTTTATCAAAAGGAGATCGACTAGGGCAACACTTTGCTCCACGAGCCACCTACCGTTGATTACTGTTCAATTAGTTTGAGGCAGTTGCATTTAGGTTTTGAATATATCTCAGCGGAGTGGGTTGTTTTAAAGATTAGATGACAGGGGGCTGTATAGGGTTTTTTAAACAATGGTTTACATGATCTGATGATCTCTTCATTTCAGGATTTATTCATACCAATTTCATTTTTCTTAAAGGCATAGAGGCGATCGGCTTGTAAAAGTCATGGGATTCCTGACTGACCTAAAGGTTTATAATTATGATTGCAGCATGAGCTAAATCCAGGATTTCGTTTCAGAATCTGAGGCAATGTTACCGAGTCACTTTAAGATAAATTTAAATTTAAATACTTTATTTATTTATTCATCATGATGTTCATAGACTTGCTGTATCCTACATGCACAGTTATGATACCATGATTTGCATTCATGCAATATAAATACAGAGCAAAATTATGCAAGGTCCGATGTGTAATAAATTGTCATCTATTCTCACATCATATAGCATACATCTCTGATGGTATCGTACTCCAGGTTAGTTCAGAAGATAATGTATTCCCCCACCCGATATATACTTTTTTAAAATTCTTATTACTATAGGTTGAATATGTGTCATACGAGCGCGGATCTGGATCCACTGATTTCTGAGGTAAACAGTGAAGGCAAGCTGACTGTCACCGTGAAACATGGTGTGGTAAGATATACCAATGGGTTACATGCCCATCCTCCGATTGATTCTTCTCCCTCTTTCATTCCATCGATTCAAAGTAGGCTATTTGTTATTATATCCCTCATGTTTAGTCGTTTGCATTGCGATTGTACAGAGCACGAAAAAGGTATAGATAAGTATATTGGTGTGACCAAAGTTCGCGCGTGACCAAAGTTCGCGTACTTACACTAAAAGCGCTTATAACAGGAGAACGATACGCGATGCCTGTGTGGGAATGAGACAACGAAATCTTTGAGCACCGTCGACAACTCCAAAGGTCAAAATGCGACATAAAAATGTGAATAAGCTAGCTTTTCACGCTTTTTATCATAATAAATTGTGTTTTTTTTAATATGAAAATCAAAATATGAAAATAATATGAGGAATTGACTCCGAAAAATAATGATAAAATTCCAATTTCTTACGCAAAAAACGGAACCTGCGCGCCTGCTTCCACCGTATCTGTGTTTGTGATTTCAATGAATCTATGGGTTTCGTAAGAATACAAATTTAAAAGGGAAAGTGGAAAGACAAAGAGAGAAAAGAGCGAGAACTCGTGTATGGCTGACAAATAAAAAGGAGACACATGATATTTTTTTCAAACAAACAAATGACATGCAGATAGGGACTACATTGTCATTAAAGGTAATACAAAGTTTTGGGAATTTTTGAAAATTGGATGGTGGTGATTCTTTTCAATTTTGATATATTTGGATGCCCCTGTGGATGTAATAAAATCACTAGAAAATTTAGCCCCTAAAACACTTTTGCTTTCGAGAAAAATTGAATATAAAAATTTACCGGTGCTCCCGGTAAATTCTGATAAATTTCAAATAGCGCCGTACGGCCGTACAATGATAGCTGCGACCATGAAATTTTCAGAATATGTAGTTGTGATATATAATTTCCAAACAGGAATAGCTAATCGGTCGATTTTAGTCAAGAAACATTGTTTTATAGCCTAATTAATATCTTGACCTTGAGAGGGAGCTATACAACATAAGGAGTTTATTATTTATAATTTCATAACTTTAGGATCGATTTCAACTGCGACAACGATCACTGAATGTTGTAGGGTCGCATATGCTTCCAATATGTTCATTTGAACCAAATTCATGACCCCATACCAAAACTTTGTATTACCTTTAACACATAAACATTGAAAAATATTGTCTTTTCATGCATCTATTTTCATGCATCGCTTCATATTGTATGTATTCTTATTTTCATTTCCGAGAGGACGTCACTTCAAGCTTATGCTTAATACGACCTCTTTCCTGTATATACCATGTCATTATCATACATCTAAATTTATAGGATTGTAAATATAAATATGTTGATATATATGGAATAAATAAACATCTACTGAAATCGAATAAAACTATGATTATTTAAAAAAAAAATAGAATACACCTCTCTCAAATTCAACTGCAAAAATGCATTGTTTATTTGAAAGGTACTTAATTTTAGAAAACTATCATTATATTTATATTATTTCTGGTATTCTTATGTTTCCATAATTATAGTGTGAGGATAGTACAACGGTCAGGTAATATGTGGTTTGGCCGTCAAGCAACAACGTATCAACGTTGGAAGATGATCCTCATCAGACCCCGTGATGGCAGCAGACTACTACGGACTTCAAAAAATAACTTGTCAAGTGAGGCGGTAACCAGGCTACCCGAATAACTAATTATACTAACTGAAAGGATATCTAAAGTTAAAATGCATGGAATATAGTATTATTAACATTAGAATACTTATGCCCTTTTTCGATACTTTGAATTAATAACTTTATAATGATGTTGAAGCATATGGAGAATGTCGATTTATTTTGGGGGCGATTTTTAATTTTCTGCAGCCTCTTCGAAAGTACTTTGACCTAATCAAAGCATTTGAGAGAGAGAAAGAGAGAGAGAGCGTGCATGTAGATGGAAGCCAGCATTAATAAGGAATTAAAAACAGATAGATTTACCAGAAAAGAAATCCGGGTAGAGAAGAGGAATAAGAGAAAACAATGCAACACACAGCAATCATGTTTTTATTTACTAGAATGAATTGTCATTCCAAAAAGGATAAACAACTTAATGGCTCAGTATTTTTCTCCTTGAATCTGGAAGCATGGTATAGAAAAAGATGCCTTCGCCCTAAATTATCTTGATTGACTAATTAAGCTCCTGTATTTATTGTTTCAGTATACGTATCATCGTGAAGACTCGACTAAAATATCAAATGGCTAAGGGCGGCAATTGATTTGTCTTTAGTTTAGATTTCATTTTATGGCATGTATCCAGTTCTGAAAAGAAGTACATGTAAGGAGTATACCATGATACCATCAGTTTACATATATTAAAACCAGAAACTTATTTCAATCAAGCTTCAAGGTAAGCAAAAGTTTGACGGCTTGTGAACCCTTATCATTTTACATAATCATAAAAGGGGGTTCGTAGTGATCAAAATTTGGGTTATAATGTTAAAACAATCTATTCCAATACAACCTAGAGCCTACAATATACAGGTTTAACTCAACAAAATATGCTTTTACTTAGGCTTCTTCATTTCTTCTTTTCTAATTTTCCTTACATAATATTATGTAAGTCCTTAGTTTACAAGTAACTACAAACCAATAAAAGTTATGTGATAACCTATATGAACTTATTTTATATCCAAAAAGAAATTGTACTGTTACTATCATTACATTTCTGGTAAGTAAAACTGACAATGCAGAACGTGAAATGTGTAATATGAAATGAATCGAACAGAAGCGATCTGATTTGAACAATTCTAAACTCTCTATAGATTGTTTGATAAACAATTCCAACCATTTTCTGAGTACTCATATTGGATAGACTGTAATGATCATAACACATTTATATCGCATTGCACTATCATAACAAGGTCATCAGGAATCTAATCCTTTAGGGTCTGTTGATATATCCTTCATCACGATAATACATGTGTTCTGTAAGAATTTTCGGTATACCTGGAGGATTTATTTCATGAACTACGGGTAACGTAATTTGTTTTGACTTTTCCTTCCTGTATACCTGACAATTCATCCGTTATCAAGAAAGATTGTTAAAAATACCGTGTGTAGCTTTAGACTTATTTCTGTCCTATCCAATCATTACTTGCTTTTGAAATTAAAGTATTGAACATATTTGTTTTCTAAATGTAATCGTTTCTTTATACGATGTACAAAAACATGATAAAGTATTCGATATGTATATGACTGTGTGTAAATATATTATAATCATTCTATCATACATTCGTTTAGATTGATGTTATTTTAAATTTTGTTTTGCTCTTCAGTCAAATAGAAAAAGAACATCCATACACTTTGTATTTAAGTATTGTGACATCACATCATTTCCCAGAACGGATACATCTAACTAGTCATGATCCTAACTTTGATATGATCTTTTCTAGTTTATGACATGCATGTAACAGTTATTGAAGTAGTAAAACAGAGGAATATGTCCTCTTGATCTCGTTGTAATATTCTTACATCAAATCGTGATCACTCTGTGTATACATATACTTTAGTTTATTTGTGACATGTATGTAAAAGTCGTCGAAGTAATAAGAGAGAAATTAGTAACCTATTCTTGTTTAGATATTCTTGTATTCAACTAATCATGATATTTTTTTTAATGTATTTAAATCAAATTTTGTCACATGCATTCAACTGCCATTGCTGTATTTAGAAAGAGTCTACTCTATCTCGTTTTAATTTTCTTGTATTAAACTAATCAACATCAAATGGTATATACCTATAATCTGGACTTCGTTGTATATAAGTCAGAGAATAATAAAGAGAGGAGTAAGACAGTGGGTTGTATTAAAGACAGAGAGAAATATCAATTAAATGGTTTGGAAAATGGTGTTTAATGGAACACATCTCTCGATTTACAGGATTATTGTCGTGTTATTTAGTAGCATTAGAATGCATGTCTATTTCCCATCAGAATGATGCAATGTAAGTTATGTTTTTCTATGGCCAGCATATCTGAAAAGGATTGACCCATGTGATATCTTATAAATTGTCAAAGATCTATTCTTATCTACAATGACAATTTCTTTCAAGTGATATATTTCAAACATCCAATGCTCCTGTATGTACAGTGTTTTTACCATAATATAAATTTATACGATATTATACATTTCTTTCCATTTATGTCTATATTGTAATGATCGCTTCCATTAATGCCTGTTGTAATGATTTTGTCAGTAGGTGGGCAGTACACCTGAATAATGGAAAGTGAAGTGGAGTCTTGCACTGTGCGTTACGTTATGAGAGGTGTATTATCTTTGTTCGAGCTGTATCGAAAACAAAAATCGCACTTTTTATAGGCTCTTTGATTGACTTGAGAAATTTTGAAATCATCTGAAAACTGATGAATTTATCTTTGTTATATTTCCAATTTTCATGGATTTGCAGGACTGCTGTAACGTGTTACCGAGATTCGAAATGTATTGAATATGTAAACATACATAATATAACCATGTATAATGTTCTCAGAAAGGGAATCACTTTGCATTCATATGTCCACTTCTTTCTACACACGTTTTTGTTATATCTGAATTTATTTTGATAATATATCTGAGAGTGTACCTAATTGCATATTAATAAACTGAAAACAAAGAGTACAAAGTAGGACTTGCAGAATATGGAATTTGTTGTAAGAACAACACATGTGTGTAACGATCTCATCAGTAATTGTAGAGACAACAGTTCCATGTATTTATATATGCAGTAAGACTGTCAATTGCTTTCAATGAGATCCGTGGGTATATGGATTTTTTAATGTTTGTTGAAGTTGTGATGATTTGTTTTTAAAGGTAACAAACATTGCTGTTAAGGCCGTTTGATAAGAATATTTTGAGTGTGTGTGTGCGTGTGTGTGTGTGGAGCTAGTCGTTCTAAGATTTAATCGATTGTCAGCTCCAGGAGGACAACAGCTACGTTTGTTTTATTTGTCCGGCAAGAAAGATATATATTGTCAATCCAAATACATTGTCATTATTCATAACATTCCTATTTTTGTATATTGTGAGATTGATCAGCAAGAATAGAATTTAATCTACAATGAAAATACGAAGTTTCATCGTTAAGATATCAATAATTTCGTGTACCAACCGTGACCCAAGATATCGAATGGTAACAAATGATATCCATTAAAAAAATCACTCAAAGTGAAATTTCCCCAAAATGCAGACATTTCAAGACATAACATGTTATTAGTGTTTTCTTTTTTCTCATCAGCCTAGGAAATTGTAAATTGAAGAAAATATAATCCCTTCGACTTTTACCAACACTGACTGTGTATTAGAGTTGTGTATTGTATTTATTGTACGTGTGTACATAATAATAAATATACGCACTTTCATGGAATTACAAACAGATTATAATTATGTCTTTGTAAATTTGTATAAAAGAGAAGGATCGATCTATAACCGATTGAACTCATGGGATCCAAAATGTTTTTGTTGTTGAAAGATGGTAGAAGGGAATATATCTCAAGAAATTGAATAAAATAATCATGAAAGCCATTCACATTTTTGAATATCGCCTCAGAGCTTTATTTACGTAAACTGAAATAAGTCGGATAAGAGTTGATCGACATGAATAAAGAAAGAGGGTAAACCGCTTTTTACAGAAAAGAAGAAATGATTGGATTGGAAAGTGTATGAAAGAGAGAAAAGGCGTGGTGTAAGTAGACGCTGAAAGATGGAGACGGACACAGAGAGAGAAAGCAAGGGAATTACGAGAAAGAAAGCGAAAGCTAGGAAATTAGGAGAAAGAGAGAGAGAGAGATATAAATATATAGGAATGAAATGCATACGAAAGCAATAAAACACATAATTACGAAAAACATTATTAATGATCACTCCGCATTTCAGAGACTAGCCACTCAGAAATGCATGATGCAGATTAAAACGCTTCACCGTTATAAACATCAATATAAACCTGTCAATTATATACATGAGACCTGAAGAAGATCATGAGGTATAGAGAGAAAGCTTGACAAAACAATACAGGAGACACACAGCAAAAGCTTTATAAGATCGAGTCGTAATTACCACATCATTAATTCTTCCTACATAAAATTATATATGCCTTCCAAGTGGAAAACCCACATCCGTTTGTTCAGGGAGCATTAATCCTCTTCTCCTCTCTATCTCTTTCTCTCCCTTCCTCTCTCTCTCTGGCTCTCTCTCTCTCTCTCTCTCTATATATATATATATGTATGACGTATGTATATCACCTTAGCTTATCGTTTTGTTTTGATGCCTCTGATTATCATGATAATGCATTTTTAGACCGAGGAACAACAAATCTAAGATCTATGTCGAAAGGAGTGTGAAAACAAATTACTATTCAATTCATTTATTTATCCTCCTTCAATTTTCCTCTTCACAATGATGGTAATTTTGTTTACATATTAACATATTGATATACATATAGATCAACTTGCACAATACAATAGGCCTACATTAAAAAAAAATGAAATTGAACTGTAAGAAAACGATGCAATCTATTCGTATTTGGCTTGCAAAGGCATTTCCAAACCACTCGCAATGTCGATACTGTGAAAGGTACTGAGTTTAAAGGTTCCAACAAGATCTTCAAAGCCTTTCTAGAAAAGTTGAAGAAAAGTGGAAAGGGTAACATCAAACGACACCCGCCGGTGAGCCCAACTGACATGAAACACAGCCTGGATTTGAATACTGCCGAAGGGTTACAGCGGAAAGTCTTTATTGATATTATGATTTATTGTGCCAATTTTGGACCAGAGAATGTGAGAGAAAGGACATTCATTACACTGTACATAATTATGACGCTGGATAGATTATTATGATAATTTAACAATAACACTAACGTTCGATCGAAATAATTGTTCTTTGATGATTACAATAGTGCCTTCTATGGTCATCTCATGTGATAACACGTGGTGCTAATGCGCCCCTGTTGGCGACAGCTATGCTCCCGAGGGAGCCAAAATCTCGCAAATCGAGAAATCACGAGAGTACGTAACGGGAACGGGATCCTGCGCCTCGAACCTCATTAAGCCTAATTTGCATACGCTCTGCGGCGGACTGACTGCTTTTTAGCCATACCGATATGTTGATATTGGTGCTGAATATTCATAGTAAATGTCATCATTCCTTGTTCACTAATCAAAACGAGTAATGAATTCTCTTTAGTTCTAGATTGAGTGTAAATTTGCTCGCATAAAAATCCTCATGATATAAGTCAGGCGCGTACGCAGGATTTTTTCAAGGGGGGGGGGGGGGGGTTTAACATTTATAAATCGGGCCGGAAATTTCGCAGCGACTCAGCCGACCGCTGAATAAGGGGGGGGGGGGGGAGGTTAAGAGGACACTTTTTTAATATTTTTTTTGGTCTCGAAATTTGAAAATTTGACATTTTTCCCCGTTGGGGGGGGGGGGGGGGGGGTTAACCCCCCAAACCTCCCCCCCCTGTGTACGCGCCTGATAAAAGTTCCCGTTTTGTGATACATCTATTATGTCGTGATGGATTGAACCACCTTCTTGATTGAACCACCCGATCAAAATATACCACAGACCACGCAACAGAGTGTCAAATGTATATCATACACACTAATACGCGCGAACCCCAATTTCGATTAAAAAATAATTAAAAAATAAAGATAAACATGTCATCATTTTGTTTATGTTCTAACTGTTTCTTGGTTATTGTATTGAAGATTAATTGTTTATGTATGACTTAAGCATGGAATTGAATCACTAAAGAATATTGAAAAAAATACCATACCACGCCACTCTAATCAGTTTATATCCACATTAATAACAATAATAATAATAATAATAATAACCGTCTCCAAGCGCTTTACATTTTTTTGTTATTTACAAGTTCAATGAATGAACCTCTGACTACTTTATACTTTTAAATTTCATCTTTTCAAGACACCAACATAATTGGGGGGGGGGGCTACTAATATATTATCTCTCATCCGATATTCTTTATTCGAGAATATTCTTCTTTTTGTAGTTTCATGATCTCTAGAGCCTTCTCGTAAATCATAATATCTTCATACAACGCTTCTCTTACTTCTGCACTATTAAGTACAGGTATGTAAGTCAATTTTCATTTGTTTGATTGTCGTATCTTCCTCTTTTACTCTGGCTCTGCCCGTGTGAAGAGGAACTGAATATTCAGCTGTAAAATTCATTTGATAAGCTTCTCCAAAGAGCTCTAGAGATACCTGATAGTCCTCCAACATTCCTATTACCGCGAACCAGTTCTCTAGGTTATCAAGGATATAGTGTAGAAGTGCACGACGCTGCTCTTTTGTTAAGGCCTCTTTATGAAGAGCTTTTTGTCGAAACCAGCACGTGTCCTCGTGCCGATGCACGTATGGGATGATATCTTTCGTGTGATCCTGATAGAGTTTTACGTACTCATCGGAACTGGAGTCATTCCTGCAAGTGTCCGGGTGCACAAGAATTAGATTGAAGAAGTGACTGCCTTGATGAATCGCCCAAGCAGTGATGGACACGTCTTTGGGTCTCACTGGTCCGCACAGACGTGATGAGTGTTTTGTAAAACAGAAGAAGTACGACGAAATGATCCTGTCATACGGATTACGAAGAACTGTCATGTATGAACAGGGCCTCTTATGCAATACATCACATATGCCAAAGCTAAAACCTCCCCAGAAGAGTGTCGGCTTGGGTGTACGTCCCTTCTGGAGGAAGTGGTCAAATGCGCTGGTAGTTACACGGTTGGACATTTTGACTGTACCCATTCTTGCTTTTTGACGCACCTTCCTCAATACCGCCTTAGTGGTTGTCCCACCTGCTTTATGAAGGTGCACAAAAGCAATGTTGCACTTAGCGTAATCCTCTCCCATTCCAGATCTCAACCCATGAATGTAATAATTTGGCAAGCCCTTCCTATGCTGTGTAACATTGGCCAGTAGAGAAAATGTCGGACTGGCATTTTGGTCAGCCATGAGTTGGGCCAATGTACTGGTGTTCATAGTACGTTCGACACGGTATTCATGACCACCACCATGTACTTCGGTTCTTCTCCCATCATTATTTCTGAAAGAAAACAATACCAAGAAAAAAGGATTAAATGATACATGTACATGACACATCATTATACACGGTCTTAAGACTATAATATACAGAACAAAAACAGATTTAGATATATGTACCAGATTGTATAACATGATTGAGAACGTAACCGCAGATACTTTTTTTGTGTTTTAATTATTTTGGGTGAAATGGCACCTTAGCTGTAGAGACAGATTTCCGCTCTCTCTCTCTCTCTCTCTCTGTGTCTCTCTCTCTTAACTAGTTCATACGAATATAATATATGCACAGTGTTTGTAGTAAGACTATTTCTGCTTCTTTTTTCAATATCTTAGTTTCTTCATTGTATTGTACTGTATTGTTTTTGTTTAGTTTTGTTGTTTGTTCGTTTGTTTAAAAAAAAGGACAGAACAGACTTACCCACTGACAGGCTCAGCCTCATACCAGACGGACTCAGGAATGGGATTGACCGAAGACGTACTCACACCGCGTTGAAGCCAGTTACCTATCAATCGTAATCATTGAGATTTAGATTAATAAATATGATATTATTTGATTCATTTCATTCCTATAAACTTCATTTCATCATTCACCATGTCTATTTATACAAATTGTGTCTATATTATGTTCATAAGGAAAGTACTTCTTTGCCTAAATCACATTGAGCATTTGCAGGCAGTTATCTAAAATTCCAGTAATAAAATAGTAACTGTTACATAATCTCATTCAAGACGTGTTCTCTAATATCCTGACAGATAATAATCAATTAATAATAATAATTAGATATACAGAGGTCGTGTCTTTAACCATTCCCTTTGCATGAAGGTCATCCCAGTAAACCGACAGTTCCAAAGACCGACAGCCTGCGAGACTGACAGCCCACGAGACCGACAGTCCACGACGAGGGAGGCAAAAACAAATAAAATATAGAAATGAAGAATTTCCAAAAGATCCTAGAGACCATCAGCCTATAAAGAGACCGACAAAACAAAGAAAAACAAGTGGGAAGATAGTGGACTGTCGCTCTTGTGGATGTCGGTAAAGTTAACCCTCGTAGAACTTACCTTTTATCGAATAGACGAACACACAATGAAGGCGATCGAAAGAAGCACAGATATGTTCAGCTGGTATTTTGAACTTCTCAACGTGGATTGGCATCTTCTTATCCAGCCCTGGTCAAGTGTGACACCGAAATGATCCATCACGCTTCACAGTCACCCGTGTAAGAGAAAATGTTGGATTCTAGGAAGAAGACAACTTTAGACTGATTTGCAGTTTGCTCGACATTTATTCCGCTCCGAAACTAGGAGTCCTTTTCCTCAAAACATGTAAAGTAGGAAAGTCAAAGTAAAACAAGTAACATGCATAAAAGCAATAACAAAATCTTATAACCACAATAAAGAGGGTCCACCATAAACAATTCGACAATAATGTATAAACGTGATATGATTCAACAATCTTAAGGGTACATGTACCATGAGTGAAACTCAAAATTGTAGGGATCTCCGGTCACGTGATCAGCGGAGGGATAGTAACTCCTTCCGATCACCCCAGGTCCCTGGGGTTTACGTGACCTGCCGGTAGGATAGTATCTCCTACGGATGATCCCCACAACTTTTCAATACTCACAAAATCATCAATGCATAACTAACATAGTTATGGAAACACTATATTTGTGGGATCTCGAGTCACGCGATCAGCGGAAGGATAGTAATTCCCTCCGATCTCACCCCAGGTCCCTGGGGTTTACGTGACCTGCCGGTAGGATAGTATCTCCTACGGATGATCCCCACAACTTTTCAATACTCACAAAATCATCAATGCATAACTAACATAGTTATGGAAACACTATATTTGTGGGGTCTCGAGTCACGCGATCAGCGGAAGGGTAGTAACTCCCTCCGATCACCCCAGATACCTGGGGTTTACGTGACCCACCGACAGGATAGTATCTCCTGCAGTATCCCCAATGTTATCCCGGTGCTACTATACCAGCGCATATATAAGAAGTGGTGATAATCGGAACCAACCATGGAATAATCACGAGTAAAAGAAATCCTCCCCCAGTCAACCCCCGTGTTACCATGATATTAAGTACATACAATTCGTTATATCACTCAAAACAACATTGTACTTCCAATTTGTTAATCCTCAATCAACTTTAAGTAGTTTACTTCTTCAACTCTACTTAAACTAAAGAGGGGTGGGTGGGCCGGGGAAAAAGGACTTCTCCGAGCGGAGATAAAGTCGAAAGTGAGAAAATCTTGCACACGGCGTTCCCACGCTTACTGCGCGCATAACTCCACCGTTGTAGATTCACTGGCTGTGCGCATTTTCGGTTTCTTTACAGAGGTAAATTTCACATGTCGCTGTCTCACAAAGGCACCGCTTAAACAGCTGTAAAAGGCGCGCGCTATTTCTGGCCTATGCCAGCAATTGTTTTGTCTATCCTTGACTCTCCCAGAATGACTCTGATCATTTATTATGATCACGTTATTCTAGGAAGAAGACAACTTTAGACTGATTTGCAGTTTGCTCGACATTTATTCCGCTCCGAAACTAGGAGTCCTTTTCCTCAAAACATGTAAAGTAGGAAAGTCAAAGTAAAACAAGTAACATGCATAAAAGCAATAACAAAATCTTATAACCACAATAAAGAGGGTCCACCATAAACAATTCGACAATAATGTATAAACGTGATATGATTCAACAATCTTAAGGGTACATGTACCATGAGTGAAACTCAAAATTGTAGGGATCTCCGGTCACGTGATCAGCGGAGGGATAGTAACTCCTTCCGATCACCCCAGGTCCCTGGGGTTTACGTGACCTGCCGGTAGGATAGTATCTCCTACGGATGATCCCCACAACTTTTCAATACTCACAAAATCATCAATGCATAACTAACATAGTTATGGAAACACTATATTTGTGGGATCTCGAGTCACGCGATCAGCGGAAGGATAGTAATTCCCTCCGATCACCCCAGGTCCCTGGGGTTTACGTGACCTGCCGGTAGGATAGTATCTCCTACGGATGATCCCCACAACTTTTCAATACTCACAAAATCATCAATGCATAACTAACATAGTTATGGAAACACTATATTTGTGGGGTCTCGAGTCACGCGATCAGCGGAAGGGTAGTAACTCCCTCCGATCACCCCAGATACCTGGGGTTTACGTGACCCACCGACAGGATAGTATCTCCTGCAGTATCCCCAATGTTATCCCGGTGCTACTATACCAGCGCATATATAAGAAGTGGTGATAATCGGAACCAACCATGGAATAATCACGAGTAAAAGAAATCCTCCACCACATTTTTTTTTTTTTTTTTTTTTTTTTTGTGGGGGGGGGGGGGGGGTTGGGCGTGGTTTGCCATGGTTGCTTCCTAATACCATCTATGGACCCATGCTGTTTCACTAAATATTAATATGACATGTATCATACTTCATGTATTTCTCATGGATTCAATCCGTTACATATCGTAATCTTATATTATTATTCTTGCTGCTAGCCAGACAGTGATAGAGGCGAAAACCCGACAATATTGCCATTGTGGCTTAATTTAACGAGCAAAATAATTATATTTCCTTTGTCGGGGAAAATTCCCCTATGGCCCACTTTGTAGTTCTGAAGCTACTGTGCGACCGAGTGACTCTGACTCCACCCTCTGCTAGCTTAACAATTGTGTATGATGTATACTAGTACATCAAAATCAATCATTAATTTAAATATGGTTCTAATTTATCAGCAATTAAATAAATTTCAAATTTAATGTGAATCCCAAAAATGAAGGCGTATATATCTGAATATGTAACTCACGTTACAACACGCTATTCCTCAACTTCTTGTGTTATAATAATTCCATTATCACATCGAACCCAGTCTGTCCGAAATTCCACAAGGCTCATTAATAGCCGAATTAGTGTTATTGTCCCGTTTCCGTGAATATAAATATTCTATTCATATATACCCAAACCCGAGTCTATTCCTTCTTGGAAATTATCGATGAAAGCGTCGGATCCTCTGTCGGACAGGTGTACCCCATCTCTTAAAAATAAACTGTAATTGGATGGATCCAACTAATGAGCAATAACTGACGCATTCGGCAGCCGGGCTATTAATCTCCTCGCGTACTTGTTGAGCGATTTCCTGACCCCATCCATGGCGTCTTGTAATGTTCGATAACCACGACTGCTATGATAGAATAGACGTGGGATGATGGTCGACCAGGCGATGTGCGTACGAGGCATGGCTGTCCGTAAAATTTGAAGAGCCATATCGATCGCGATTCTGCATTGGCAGGCATCATTCAGGCCCAAGTTATTTGTTCCTAAATGCACGATTACTAGCGCAGGTGCTCGTTGGTTGTATCTCAACCTATTCTCCACCAGGCGCGGAAGGTCTTGTAACGTCGCTCCTCCCTGACCGTGCCATTGGACCGTCCCTCTTGCTCTTCCCAAATCTTGGTGGTTGAGCATGTTCGCCCTCTGCTTGGCACGTCTGACCAAGCTGTCGCCTACGATCCAGATCCTGTCGCCGGTTGTCTCTGAAACAGGATGGAAAAACTCCCCAAAGTAATGTGTTCTATATTCATATTCATATCATCATACACGTGGGCTACTTATTCTCCCACTTATAATTTACTATGAAATTATGTGATAGTAGGTTTCCATTAAAAGGAAAAAGGAAGGAATAATCGTTCCTCTGTGTTACATGTAAAACCTAGCAGCGATGGGGGTTACGACAATATTAATGATTGGGGGAGCCTAATCAGGATAGTAACTCCTGGTTGATCCTCCAGTCCCATTCTGGTTATTAACATGAGCACTTCACATAACTGATCTGCACATTGTATACTTTGTGTCGTGTTCAACTTTTTATTGTATTATAACGAATTAGGTTAAATAATTGTATAAAATTATTACTGCTTTCCCGTTTGCCCGTTAGTAATTTAAATCCAATTTGTCATAGTAATCTCTATGCTTTGAAGTTTAACCGTTGGACTCCAGTGCAGTGGATTTTCCCATGCCCTTTGTTACCACAAATGGTACATGCGTGTGTAAAGCGGCATGCCTATCTAGAGCATTGCCCTGACCGGTAATTAAATTCATAGCATTCTCCGCCACGAAAGTTTTGTGCCCGAAATGGCGCCCTTCCCTTATTCATATTGGGTGTGAACTTTATTGTGCTCGACCCCCGGGGTGTGGCCCATTCCCGCTTGGTTGCCCACGATCCCTATTGGGTTTGGGGGCGGTCTTGTATCCGCATGTTTCGCGGAGATCCCCCACCTATTACGTGAAGGAGCCACAATTCCCCATCTATTGATGACCACAGCCCGCCTTTTCTGTGCATGCGATGTCGAAATTCGATATCGTAGTCTCTCCAACCATACCCATAATACCGAGAGGCAGCAGATCGAATTAATTGCCCATATTTCAGAAGCTCATGTGAGCGAATTAAATTGGCTTCTAAATAAATACTGATATATACAAAAATGCATCGGTCCACCATTCAATGGACACGATTTTATTTTTATTAAAGGTAGCGAATTTCAGCACTAACCTTCCCCCTTCGTGAGATATTGCTAAATTAGGGGCTTGTTCGTCTACTGCCTCTAACATTAATTATATTGCTATATTTTGTGTCTCAAGAAGTGTATTGAAATCTACATATTGCCCTCTCCATATTTTTCCTTCATATTGTGGTGTACTTTAGTCCCCAGTCTATCAGTGACCGAAAACAAGGGCGACTGATCTGTGTTATATATGTGTGCACCACTGTGCTCCCCCCTTGTATCCCTGGCAATAGCGCCTGACTGAGTCGATTGCCCGACACTGCTTGCCCGTGTGGGAGGATGGGCTTCATTATCCCTCAAATTATGACTAGCTCTAGGCCTAGTGTCACTCTCGTTGTGTGTAATTTGTAATTGAAAGCCAGCGTATAGGCTACCGGTGTTTGGTACAATCGAGGGGAAGGAAACCACCAAGTTGCTTTCCCTCTCGCTTCCAAGATTGTTAAATCTATGTCTTGTTGTTTCACTAAATTGTGATATTTCTGGTAAATGTGATTGCATAGCTACGTCTACCTCACCTTGCATTGGCTGTGCATGTGAAGGCGGCTGGCTTGATGACTGGTTCGCTCCAGTTGTCTCGTTTCCACTGTATTGTGGTCCGTCAGTCTCCGGAGCCGGGTTTATGCTGGTAGTGGCTGAGCGTCCACTGTTGGGGTTACCGCTCGAGTGCCTCGCCGGTTTTGGCCGCCCCGCCCGCCGGGGAGTTGAGGTGCCGAGTACGTCTTGAGTGGTGTCGTTGCTAGACTGCCTTAATCTTGTAGACTGTCTAGGCCTAGCAATCTTTGGTTGGCGGGCCACCCGGCTCTGGCTTGATTTCCGCTTTCCCATCTTTCGATATACTGGGATTTCCTCTCGTTAATTAGACTTATCTGTATACTCAATTGTAGAGCCTTCTCGAAAAAGGACTTCTCCGAGCGGAGATAAAGTCGAAAGTGAGAAAATCTTGCACACGGCGTTCCCACGCTTACTGCGCGCATAACTCCACCGTTGTAGATTCACTGGCTGTGCGCATTTTCGGTTTCTTTACAGAGGTAAATTTCACATGTCGCTGTCTCACAAAGGCACCGCTTAAACAGCTGTAAAAGGCGCGCGCTATTTCTGGCCTATGCCAGCAATTGTTTTGTCTATCCTTGACTCTCCCAGAATGACTCTGATCATTTATTATGATCACGTTATTCTATTTAAAAAAAACTGCCTAGAAATTCCTTGGATTTTTAAGTACTGTTGGGAATGGTAGACAAGATCATAATGACTGCGTGGATATTATAGTTAAGAAGATGAAATAAAACATGTTTAATCATGATAATAATTTTAATTACATTGTTGGTCATAATGGTGGAAATTTCTTATTTTTACCTCAATTTATGGGATGATTTTGACAATGATTTATTTCTAATAGATCTAGATAATAATATACATTCTGAGATCGTATTGGATAATAATTTGCGAGTGTTTGTTTTGCGTGACTGCTAAAGCATGTGTGTGCGACTATGCTAATCAACTAGGGGACCTATGTCATTAAGTCATAACTGACAGTAATCGGGATTAATGCCTCACAAAAGGGCACTAATATAGCTGATCGACACGGTTTTAATTCTGGGGCCTCACAGTAACGAGGCCATTGCTTAGCTACTGAATCATGAATGTACGCAGCGAGGGCTAGGGTACGTCGCCGCCCCCTCAAATACAAAAAAAAGAAAGAAAATTAAATACATTTTCAATAATTGATTGCATTTTCCCCTGTAGGGCAATGCATTATGGGTCAAGGCATGCCCAGATAGAGGATATTTTTATCTTAGGGGTCAGGGCAAGATGCAATGAATTATTGAAAATTTATAGCATTTTCTTCGTGTGTTTGTATTTGTGGGGGCTGCGACGTACCCTAGCCCCCGCTGCGTAGAGTCATGATTCAGTGGCTAAGCAATGGCCTCGTTACTGTGAGGTCCCAGGATCAAAACCGTGTCGATGTGCTTTTAATTATTAGTGCCTTTTTTATATGAGGCATTAATCGTCTTTGCTGTCAGTTATGACTTGAGGACGTAGGTCCCCTAGTAGATTAGCATAGTAGAATACACGTGCTTTAGCAGTCACGCAAAACAAACACTCACAAATGATTATTCAATACAATCTGAGAATGTATACTATTATCGTTTCTTAATTCTTTTAAATAAAAACTTAAGGTTTTTTTTTTATTCACAAACTCTACAAAATAATTAATCCATCCTAACTTTTATAACTTTTAAACTTTTATAACTTTTAAACTCTCTTTTGCCATAATGTCACTATGCTTTTCTAATTGTTTATGAGTAAAAATGTCGGTATTTTAATAAGCTGGGGATTGCCTCGACAGAATCTTTATTTGGTTCTTTTGCAATTTCCATTTCATGTTCATTATCTATTTCCTTGATTTCTTACTCTTGTCTTAACTTCTCTTTTTAATTGTGTGTTTTATAGTTCAATGTATACTGTGTTTCCTACATGTAAATATGTTGTCAATGTACAATGTTTTTCAATGTACTTTTTTGAAATGGACTTGAATAAAATAAAATTGAATTGGATTGAATTGAATTGAATCTAGATCTAGTAAAATCATTGTTAAAATCTTTCTATAAATCGGGGTAAAAAAAATTATACCACCATTATGACCAACAGTGTATATATAAGATAACAATAATAAAGATAATAATAATGATCACAATGATAATAATAATCATAATAATAATAAATAGTGATAATACTACTACATGTACTACTACTACTATTACTACTACTAATAATAATAATAATAGAGGGTTCTTGTATGGTGCTCATGTCTCAGACTTGACATTCCTAGCGCTCCATAACTATTACTGGCTTCAGCATGGCTGCCATTATGGCGTTTCCAAATAGTATGTCAAGGAGTAAAAGGGCAAGTTCGGCTAATTCGCAAAAATTGAATTGAAGAAATTGACAGAAACTAAACAAACGAAAGAGTAAAGGTTTCATCAAAAGTGCCGGAATACAGTAGAAATATAGAAAAATACGAAAATTTTAGAAGTAATTTGAAAAGATACTTATTTAGCATTTTGTATAATCTCTCACTTATGAACCCAGTGCACCATTTCCACTCCTTCTGTATTCTGATCTGTATGGCGCGTAGAGACATTCAATCATGCCTATGCGTTATGCACTATACAAACACTTTTAATTATTGTTAATATTTTTCCATTGAAATGAAATAGGTTGTCGGCGAGAAAGGCTGCCCTGATACCACGCCAGTGGTAGCAAACTAATATTGTCCGTCTTCTAGTTCAGGTAGTCAAAGCTAGACCTCGGACTGACTTCCTGCATTGCCCCAAATTTTGAACAAAACAGTTTAAGCCTAGTATCGAGTTTATATTTAGGAGAACTTGTAGAGTTTGTCCCGACGGATTCTTCGAGCGCATGAAGAAGAAATCCACTTTTACACTCTCGAGGCATACTACTTCATTAATAATAAAGTGTATATGTATGTTTATATACACACGCACACCGAATTACACAAAACAAAACCAAACAGATACGAAACAAACTTACCAAAATAATCTGATAATACAGCTCAGCTATATGGAATTGGCCTCAGACCCATCACAAACATTACCACAAACGTATTCGAGAAAGGATCACTGTATATTATGTATAGAATTAGCTAGCTTTTAGTATGTAGACCAACGATTGAAATAGTTGCCTTCTTACAGTTAAAAAACGGCGCTTCAGCATCACTGCCAAAATCGATAGCCTATAGAGATTATGTTAAGGATCAATATGCGATCATTGTCGATGACTCAAACAAAGAGATGATTATTGATTAAAGTGCGTTTTGTGGTTTTGATGTATCTATACCAGCTCTCGTTGACGTTGAATAGGAAAGGAAGTCAATGGCATAATTTAGCAAAGTCATATAAATGCTTGCCTATCCCGTGATATGCTTTCGGATGGTGAACTAGTGAATCTCAGTTGGGATGTCATATTCCTTCATTTCAAGTCTATTAAATGTCGGAAATTGGTTTATACACCGCTTAAATTCCATCCAGTATAGAAACATATTACACCAGGGGGGTGTTTCAAAAAGATCTCAAGTCGAACTTAACTCTAAGTTGGACTTAAACATTATGGAGAGCCATTTGTAGCCTTAAAATAAAATATAGACCTATTCAAAAGCAAAAATTCAAGTATTTTAGACCTTTTATACATTCCACATCAAGAACGTGAAATCTCCTTGATAATAGAAAATATGAATGATTTGAATTAACATTTTATGCCTTTTAAAATCATTTTTACAAAATATTTTCATAGATGCTAACGGCTTTCCATAATTTTTAAGTCCAACTTAGAGATAAGTTCAACTTAGGATCTTTGTGAAACACCCCCCAGGTGAGAGTTATACAACTCTTCTTCAGAGTGTGAGTATAAACAACATTACTAGGCCTACATTCTAAGTGAACTAGCTGAAACAAAAATCAATGGGATTAACATCGAAACATCGGCCAGCCCAGTAAATTGCAAACGAGGTGTAGAGGCTATTATATGACTCAGGAGTACTTTAAAATGTCGATTTTTCCATACTGGAAAGTTTGCAGAATATAGCTAAATAAACGAAAATAAGAGCTGGTTCTGTGTAGGGGATTAATAGTCGTTCATTCATTTACTCAATTTCACCGGAAGCATTATATATTACAGGAGAATTTCAAAATGACAAGATACGTCACATCGAAGAGTCAAATAATTATTATAAACAGGTAAGTACATGTATGATTAAGTAGGCAGCAAACAAAAAGGGACAAGGTCCTTTATTTGAGAGTTGTGACTGACCCTGAAGTTAAAACATATTCAACATCTACATGGTTATCTAAAATATATTTCAAATCGCTTTACACAAGACTATACTAGTTAATTCCATTTTTTGTTTGAGTGCAGATAAGAGGGAACAGAAGGGAAAGACTGATATAGAGATACAGAGAGATAATTCTGTTAAAAGAAGGAGGGAGTACAATATACAAGTAGATCCTATGTAACTTGTGTTTTCTGAGACACATATTTATGTAGCAGTATACTCCACGTTTTTATTCTGTAATCAAATTTACCATTGATTAATGCGATCTGCTTGAATTGTCATGCAGAATTTGCCGAATTAAAAAGATATATGTTTTTTTACACACTTCAACTGATCTGCTATTACGAATAGATCTCGCTGGAGAGCATTCCACATCGAAGGCCCTGCATGATCAAAGGTTCTTTTCCTCCACTTAGTATTCAATACATAGTAGGGCCTGCTATCTTCAAGTAAAAAACATGAATCAAGAATATTATACGGCACTTCATATCAGAGAGGAAACATACTAATTTAAAAATAGAAAGATGAGGGGAAAAAATAAGGGAAGGAAGTTATCGGTATATGATTTATGTACATAGTTTATTGTTATGGGTGAGGTGAAATGTGACCGGCCCTAAAGCTTTTGAATCTTAATGTTAAGTCAAAGATAGAAAATGAGGGGGGGGGGGGGAGGAGAAGAAAGGAAGAAAGGAGAGTGGGTGGGATGGTGCAATCGATATGGTGCTATCGGTACCTGATTTATGCAAGCATTTGTATCGTTATTGTTATGGGTGAGGTGAAGTGTGATCGTACCTAAAGCTTTTTGATTGTTAACGTCATCAATATTCCATGAAATGGGGAATTCCCATCAGGCGTCATCATCGCAACGACGCGACGCCATCGTTAAAGAGGTGGAAATCCAGACAAGAGCATGGAAAACTGGAAAGAAAGCTCCACCATCGGATCAAACAGCTGATCGGATTCGTTCTTTCTGAAATAAGCAAATACTTCTTCTTCATCTCACCTCATTGCGGAAATGTTTTAGTTAAATTGCGTGGAGCATCAGCAGTGAAAACTAGTGTTTTACATAGTGTCCGCATCAGTTACAAATACGAAATCTCAATAAACCGTTGGGCTATCTACTGCATAACAGGAGAGGCGGAGCAATCATGAGGAATATCGTGAACTTTGTTTGTTACCTGCTACTTTTTACAGGTATTTCTGTATTATTTTAATCATCATAATCATCATCATCATCATCATCATCATCATCGTCGTCGTCATTATCATCATAGTCATTTCCGTGTTTATTACTTTTATTGTGTTGGAATTATTATTTTTACTAAATAATC